TTTTTAGTTGATTATTTGTATTTTAAATAAAAATTATTAATAAAATTTAATTAAAATAGTAAATAAATTAATTATTTTTGAATAAACTATTTAATACCATATTTCTTCCATTATTGCTATTCTCTGATAATTATTTCAGTAGTAGGAAATAAATATTTATTTAAAAAACCAAAATAAAATTTCAATAAAAGGACTTGAACAATTATTGGAGAATCTAACTTATTTAATTATTTTTATATAACTTTCTTTATAAAATTTACTTTCTCTATAAAGTTAAATCTAATTTGGAGATGAAGGATTAAGGCAGCTAGCTTTTTGTTTAAAAAGAAGCAAAATAAGAAATTTTTATCTTTATTTTGATTTTGATTGGTAAATTTTAAAAATATGAATTATGATTTAATTTTAACTAAATATCACTTTTTATCTTCAAAATTTTTGTTAAATCAACCTAAATTTATTATTAACTTAAATTTTAAGCTTTAATTATTTTTATTTATCTTACAGGCATAGACAAAAAGAGTCCCCATTTATTTAACTAATACAATCAATTAGAAAAAGCAGAAATTTAGTTAATTATACTCTTGCTTTTTGAAAAAAATATTCAATTTTATATTTTGTTGTTTTTATCAATTATTTATATACAAATAAGTATCTATCTATCTGTTTTGATTTTTATTAAATAAAATATCTATCTATCTATTGTGAATATTAAAACAAACAACAAAAAAAACTTTTTTAATTTATTTATTAGCTTTTTTTGTTTTATTTATTGATTTATTGATTTAAAATTTTATATTTTATTTAAAAATTTTATTATTTTATTTTTTTTAGTTATTTACACAAGCATATTTTTAAAAGGAAAATCTAAATCATAAAAAATAATATTTAGAAGTAAAGTATCTTAAATTAATAAGATTATTTGCCTTTTGTTTACTTTATTCGTGATAAAAAAATGGTGAAAAAAGAAGAACAAATTAAAATTATTTGAATAAAATAATATATAATATTTTTTAGTCAGATAATTTAGTCTAAAGGATAAATATATAGATTAATTTTTATTTTAATATTTAAATTAATTTTTGTAAGTTAATAAATAGCTTATTAAATAGAATAAAATTTAAAAATTAATACTTAAATCCTGAGTTTCGCAAAAAGTGATCAAAAATTTATTAATTGTTAGCTTCTTATTTTGTCTCATAAAATTAAATAAATGAGAAGATTTTATATCATAGATATAAATTAGTTGTATTGATAATATAAATTAATATTTTTAAGCATATCAAAATTTAAATAAAAATTAGTAAATATATAAAATATTTAAAAACATTTTAAATATAAAGACGAAGTGTATCAGTAAATTCATAGTATTTTCTTGTTTTATAATATTAAATATTGCTAATTCAGGTATTGAAGTTTGAATGCTAAGTAATTTCTTAGCCTCCTTGCTTTTTTTATTTTAATTTGTCAGAATTTATCTGACAGATCAATCTACCTTTGATTTTATTAAAAACAAAGGCCTTTTATTTAGTTTTTGCGAAAAATTAATCTTTTACACAATTTCCTTAAATAAAAATCTACTTATATTAGAATAATACTAATTAGAATTTTTAAGGTAATGATTAAAGTAATAGCTGATTAATTTAAATTATTAGATTAATAGTAAAGCACTTGCAACATTAAAAAATATTCATCACTATTTATTAGTAATAATTTAAATAATATTAGAAGTAAACATAATTAAAGATTAATAATAAAAAATATATTTTCTGATACATACATTCTAATAAATTAAACTAAAAAGAGTTAGTAAGTATGTCATCAAAATATTTAAAAATTAAAATTTTAAAATAGTTATATTGAATGGCTCTTAAATTAGAATAAAATTGAGATAAAGTACTTAAAAAAATTATGAAAAATTAAATTTTATAGCAATATTTATTGAAGAGTCAAAAATTTTTAACAAAAATCTTTGAAAAAATAATTAATTTAAATTCGCTCAAGGTTATCAAATCTTAATTAAGTGAGTTCATGATATATTTTAAAATAAATGATTTATTTGAAGATAAAATTATAAATATTTGTTAAATATAAAAATATAAGGCAAAAGAAAAAATAAATAATGGATTGTGAATAAATAAAAAATAAATTTAATAATGAATCACTTCAATATTTATCTGAACTCAAGCATAAGAATGATTATTTAATATAATAAGCTGAAGAACGTAATTAAATTAAAAGGAAAATAGGTTAACTTATACAACAATTGAATGAAAATAAAATTAGTTATAAAAAATAAAATAAAAATAAAATAGGTAGATTTGACATTTCTAAAATTGAAAAATGGATATTCTGCAACTATGCAAATGCTATTACAAAATTATAAGCTAAAACCTAAAAATAAAAAGATGATATTTTATATTCGCTAATTTAAATGAACTAACAAAAAAAGAAAAAATTAATGAAAGACAAGTTAGTTTATACTTAATAGTAAAAAGGAGATATATTATATTTGTTTTAAAGACATATAGCAAGATGCCATTCAAAAATTCAATGGTTTAGATGCCACTAATTATGAAATAGATTCTTTAGTTATTTATTAAAAAATCTGATTTTGATATTTTATAATAGAGTTATAGTTAATTAATTCATAATTTAATTTATAAAAATCAAAAATAAATATTTTTTTACATCAAAATTTTTAAATTTAATTAATTACTAGAATTTTTTCAAATATGACTAACTGGTCATCTCTAATTCCTACTATATATGTATTTTTTAAGAATATGTTTTAAATAAAAATGTTAAATTAATTTTTCTGTGATATCTATCTCTTCATAAAACCAAATTTATAAATAAATATTTGATAATTAATTAATTAATTATTTATTATATTTTATTTGTTCTTTTTATCTATTTATTATTAATTAATTAAATTTCATAAATTGTTATCCAAAATTTTTGAAAAAAAATAAATGATATAATAGATTAAATATTATAAAGAATTAGAAGAAGTAATTATTTGTTTTTTAATTAATATTCTTTAAATTTATATAAATTAATAAAAAAAGCTTCTAAACTCTTCACTTTTACCTCATTAGGTTCTCGATATTGATCTTAGGTATATTTTATACATTTATATTATTTTTATAGTTTTTAATATTTTTTATATATTTAACTTTCAATTTATTTTAATAAATAATTTTTATTATTGAAATTATCATCACCCCATTATTAAAAACAAAAATTATGAAGTTATCTTAACTTAAATTTTTAATTATTTATAATTCATTTTTTTTTTCTTCATTTTTGCTATAAAAACTTACATTTAAAAAAAGCAGTTTATTTGTTTTGGATTATAATATTTTTAATTATAAAAGTTAATTTAAAATACTTAATCTTATTATTCCATATTTTTTCTTCAGTTTTTCCTTCTAATTAACTATTTAATAATATATTTTTTCTTCAATATTTAAAAAGGAACAATTAAATTGGTAATGGAGGTGCATCAGGCTTAGGCTCTTCTTTAGCAAATTGCATTAATCTCTCAAATTTGACACTTGACCTTTGGTAAAAATAGTTTATTTGTTTTGGATTGTGATATTTTTAATTGTAAAAACTAATTAAAAACAATAAAGCTCTTTTTTCTTTTTCTTTTTATTGTGCTTGCATTTCTTTTCTCCTTTCTTTGTTAATTTAAAAACTCATCATTTTATTTTAAAATTTAGCTTTTATTATTAATTCATATTATTATTTCATATTTTTTCTTCATTTTTTCATTCTAATTAACTAATTAATGATATATTTTTTCTTCAATATTTAAAAAGTGGAAATTATATTGGTGCAATGGGTGCATCAGGCTTAGGTTCTAGTTTAGCAAATTGCATTAATCTCTCAAATTTGACACTTCTTCTTTTGTAAAAACAGTTTATTTGTTTTGGATTGTGATATTTTGAATTATAAAAACTAATTAAAGACAATAAAGCTCTTTTTTCTTTTTCTTTTTATAGTGCTTTGCATTTTTTTTGTCCTTTATTTGTTAATTTAAATACTCATCATTTTATTTTCAACTTTTGCTTTTATTATTAATTCATTTTATTATTTCATATTTTTTCTTCATTTTTTCATTCTAATTAACTATTTAATGATATAGTTTTTCTTCAATATTTAAATAGTGGCAATTAAATTGGTGATTAAGGTGCATCAGGCTTAGCTTCTGGTTTAGCAAAATGCATTAATCTCTCAAATTTGACACTTGATCTTCTGTAAAAATGGTTTATTTGTTTTGGATTGTGATATTTTGAATTATAAAAACAATAAAGCTCTTTTTTCTTTTTCTTATTATTGTGCTTGCATTTTTTTTGTCCTTTCTTTGTTAATTTAAAAACTCATCATTTTATTTTCAACTTTTGCTTTTATTATTAATTTATATTATTATTTCAAATTTTTTCTTCATTTTTTCCTTATAATTAACTATTTAATGATATAATTTTTCTTCAATATTTAAATAGTGGCAATTAAATTGGTGATGAAGGTGCATCAGGCATAGGTTCTGGTTTAGCAAAATGCATTAATCTCTCAAATTTGACACTTGATCTTCGGTAAAAATGGTTTATTTGTTTTGGATTGTGATATTTTGAATTATAAAAATAAATTAAAAACAATAAAGCTCTTTTTTCTTTTTCTTTTTATTGTGCTTGCATTTCTTTTGTCCTTTCTTTGTTAAATTAAAAACACACCATTTTATTTTCAACTTTTGCTTTTATTATTAATTCATTTTATTATTTTTTATTTTTTCTTCATTTTTTCTTCTAATTAACTATTTAATGATATACTTTTTCTTCGATATTTAAAAAGTGACAATAAAATTGGTGATGAAGGTGCATCAGGCTTAGGTTCTGGTTTAGCAAAATGCATTAATCTCTCAAATTTGACACTTGATCTTCGGTAAAAACAGTTTATTTGTTTTGGATTGTGATATTTTTAATTATAAAAACAATAAAGCTCTTTTTTCTTTTTCTTTTATTGTGCTTGCATTTTTTTTGTCCTTTCTTTGTTAATTTAAAAACTCATCATTTTATTTTCAACTTTTGCTTTTATTATTAATTTATATTATTATTTCAAATTTTTTCTTCATTTTTTCCTTATAATTAACTATTTAATGATATAATTTTTCTTCAATATTTAAATAGTGGCAATTAAATTGGTGATGAAGGTGCATCAGGCATAGGTTCTGGTTTAGCAAAATGCATTAATCTCTCAAATTTGACACTTGATCTTCGGTAAAAACAGTTTATTTGTTTTGGATTGTGATATTTTGAATTATAAAAACTAATTAAAAACAATAAAGCTCTTTTTTCTTTTTCTTTTTATTTTTATTGTGCTTGCATTTTTTTTGTCCTTACTTTGTTAATTTAAATACTCATCATTTTATTTTAAAATTTAGCTTTTATTATTAATTCATATTATTATTTCATATTTTTTCTTCATTTTTTCCTTCTAATTAACTAATTAATGATATACTTTTTCTTCAATATTTAAATAGTAACAATTAAATTGGTGATTAATGTGCATCAGGCTTAGGTTCTGGTTTAGCAAATTGCATTAATCTCTCAAATTTGACACTTGATCTTTCGTAAAAACAGTTTATTTGTTTTGGATTTTGATATTTTGAATTATAAAAACTAATTAAAAACAATAAAGCTATTTTTTCTTTTTCTTTTTATTGTGCTTGCATTTCTTTTTTCCTTACTTTGTTAATTAAAAAACTCATCATTTTATTTTAAAATTTAGCTTTTATTATTAATTCATATTATTATTTCATATTTTTTCTTCATTTTTTCATTCTAATTAACTATTTAATGATATACTTTTTCTTCAATATTTAAATAGTAGCAATTAAATTGGTGATGAAGGTGCATCAGGCTTAGCTTCTGGTTTAGCAAAATGCATTAATCTCTCAAATTTGACACTTGGAATTGAGTAAAAACAGTTTATTTGTTTTAGATTGTGATATTTTGAATTATAAAAACTAATTAAAAACAATAAAGCTCTTTTTTCATTTTCTTTTTATTGTGCTTGCATTTCTTTTGTCCTTTCTTTGTTAATTTAAAAACTCATCATTTTATTTTCAACTTTAGCTTTTATTATTAATTCATATTATTATTTCATATTTTTTCTTCATTTTTTCCTTCTAATTAACTATTTAATGATATATTTTTTCTTCAATATTTAAAAAGTGACAATAAAATTGGTGATGAAAGTGCATTAGGCTTAGGTTCTGGTTTAGCAAATTGCATTAATCTCTCAAATTTGACACTTCTTCTTTTGTAAAAACAGTTTATTTGTTTTGGATTGTGATATTTTGAATTATAAAAACTAAATAAAAACAATAAAGCTCTTTTTTCTTTTTCTTTTTATTGTGCTTACATTTCTTTTATCCTTACTTTGTTAATTTAAATACTCATCATTTTATTTTCAACTTTTGCTTTTATTATAAATTAATTCATATTATTATTTCATATTTTTTCTTCATTTTTTCCTTCTAATTAACTAATTAATGATATACTTTTTCTTCAATATTTAAATAGTAGCAATTAAATTGGTGATGAAGGTGCATCAGGCTTAGCTTCTGGTTTAGCAAAATGCATTAATCTCTCAAATTTGACACTTGATCTTCGGTAAAAACAGTTTATTTGTTTTGGATTGTGATATTTTGAATTATAAAAACTAATTAAAAACAATAAAGCTCTTTTTTCTTTTTCTTTTATTGTGCTTGCAATTTTTTATCCTTACTTTGTTAATTTAAATCCTCATCATTTTATTTTCAAATTTAGCTTTTATTATTAATTCATATTTTTTCTTCATTTTTTCATTCTAATTTACTATTTAATGATATATTTTTTCTTTAATATTTAAAAAGTGGCAATATAATTGGTGCAATGGGTGCATCAGGCTTAGGTTCTGGTTTAGCAAATTGCATTAATCTCTTAAATTTGAGACTTGGAATTAAGTAAAAACAGTTTATTTGTTTTGGATTGTGTTATTTTAAACTATAAAAATGAATACAAAACAAAAAAGCTCTTTGAATTTATTTGATAGCTTTTATTTAATTTATTTTTATCTTTTTTATTTGACTAATGTTATTTTATTCATTTATTAATTTAAGAAATAATTTATAATTTAAAAGTTTATTCTATTTGATATTTATTAAAAATTTTCACAAATTTATTATAAAATTTTTAGCTTAACGAATTAATCATAAGTAATCATAAGCAAGTGTCTTAAATTAAAAAGATTAGTTGCCTTTAAAAAATAATTCTGGTGATAAGCAAGTGGCGAAAAAAGGATGAATAAATATTAATTGTTTGAAAAATCGAATATTTTATGTTTTTTTACTTAAAAATAATATTACAGAATACAGCTATATTTAAAGGTACCACCTACCTTCATTCTCTGAATTTTAAAAGCTCTAAAAAGTAAAGTATAGTTAGTAAGTACTCTATAAATAAAAGCTTATTTAAGTTAATATTTAAATGCACTTATTTGGTAGATGTAATCAATATAAATTAAATAAAATTTGCTTGCAAAAAAAAACCAATGTGATTCAGAATAATTATAGATATTATAAATATTCCTATAATTACAAATCTAAAACAGAAAAATCTACTTATCAGAATTATTTTTATAAAATTTAAGAGCATTCATTAATTACTAGATTTTTTTCAAATATGACTAACTGGCCCCAAATTTATAAATAAATATTTGATAATTAATTAATTAATTATTATATTTTATTTGTTCTTTTTATCTATTTATTATTAATTAATTAAATTGCATAAATTGTTATTCAAAATTTTTGAAAAAAAAAAAATGATATAATAGATTAAATATTATAAAGAATTAGAAGAAGTAATTATTTATTTTTTAATTAATATTCTTTAAATTTATTTAAATTAATAAAAAAAGCTTTTTAACTCTTCACTTTTATCTCATTAGGTTCTCGATATTGATCTTAGGTATATTTTATACATTTATATTATTTTTATAGTTTTTAATAATTTTTATATATTTAACTTTCAATCTATTTTATTATTGAAATTATCATCACCACTAAATTAAAAAAAAATTATTTAGTTATCTAAACTTAAATTTTCTATTTTCAATTTTTAATTATTATTCATTTTTTTTCTTCTTCATTTTTGCTATTAAAACTTGCATTTAATAAAAGCAGTTTATTTGATTTATTATTCCATATTTTTTCTTCATTTTTTCCTTCTAATTAACTATTTAATAATATATTTTTTCTTCAATATTTAAAAAGTTATGATTCAATTGGTGATGAAGGTGCATCATGCTTAGGTTCTTGTCTAGCAAATTGCATAAATCTCTCTAATTTGACACTTAGCCTTTGGTAAAAATAGTCTATTTGTTTTGGATTGACATATTTTTAATTATAAAAACTAATTAAAAACAATAAATCTCTTTTTTCTTTTTATTGTGCTTGCATTTTTTTTGTTCTTTCTTTGTTAATTTAAAAACTTATCATTTTATTTTCAACTTTTGCTTTTATTATTAATTAACCTATCTTATTATTTCATATTTATCTTCATTTTTTCCTTCTAATTAACTATTTAACGATATAATTCTTCAATATTTAAAAAGTTACAATTAAATTGGTGATTAAGGTGCATCAGGCTTAGGTTCTTGTTTAACAAATTGCATTAATCTGTCAAATTTGACACTTTAACTTAAGTAAAAACAGTTTATTTTTTTGGATTGTGATATTTTTAATTATAAAAACTAATTAAAAGCAATAAAGGTCTTTTTTCTTTTTCTTTTTATTTTTATTGTGCTTGCCTTTTTTTGTTCTTTCTTTGTTAATTTAAAAACTCATCATTTTATTTTCAACTTTTGATTTTATTATTAATTAATCTATGTTATTATTTCATATTTTATCTTCATTTTTTCCTTCTAATTAACTATTTAATGATATGTCTTTTTTTCAATATTTAAAAAGTGGCAATTAAATTGGTGCAATGGGTGCATAAGGCTTAGGCTCTTTTTTAGCAAAATGCATTAATCTCTCAAATTTGACACTTGATCTTCGGTAAAAACAGTTTATTTGTTTTGGATTGTGATATTTTTAATTATAAAAACTAATTAAAAACAATAAAGCTCTTTTTTCTTTTTCTTTTTATTTTTATTGTGCTTGCATTTTTTTTATTTTTTCTTTGTTAATTTAAAAACTCATCATTTTATTTTCAAATTTTGATTTTATTATTAATTCATATTATTATTTCATATTTTTTCTTCATTTTTTCCTTCTAATTAAGTATTTAATGATATATCTTTTCTTCAATATTTAAAAAGTGGAAATTATATTGGTGCAATTGGTGCATCAGGCTTAGGTTCTGGTTTAGCAAAATGCATTCTTCTCTCTAATTTGATACTTGATCTTTGGTAAAAACAGTTTATTTGTTTTGGATTGTGATATTTTGAATTATAAAAACTAATTTAAACAATAAAGCTCATTTTTATTTTTATTTTTATTGAGCTTGAATTTTTTTTGTTCTTTCTTTGTTAATTTAAAAACTCATCATTTTATTTTCAACTTTTGGTTTTATTATGAATTAATTAATCTAAATATTTCATATTTTTTCTTCATTTTTTCCTTCTAATTAACTATTTAGTGATATACTTTTTCTTAAAAATTTAAAAAGTTACAGTTAAATTTGTGATGAAGGTTCATCAGCTTTAGGTTCTGGTTTAGCAAATTGCATTAATCTATCAAATTTGACACTTTAACTTAAGTAAAGACAGTTTATTTGTTTTAGATTGTGATATTTTGAATTATAAAAACTAATTAAAAACAATAAAGCTCTTTTTTCTTTTTCTTTTTATTGTGCTTGCATTTTTTTTGTTCTTTCTTTGTTAATTTAAAAACTCATCATTTTATTTTCAAATCTAGCTTTTATTATTAATTAATCTATCTATCTTATTATTTCATATTTTTTCTTCATTTTATCCTTATAATTAACTATTTAATATATATTTTCTTCAATATTTAAAAAGTTACAATTAAATTGGTGTTGAAGGTGCATCAAGCTTAGGCTCTGGTTTAGCAAATTGCATTAATCTCTCTAATTTGACACTTTAACTTTAGTAAAAACAGTTTATTTGTTTTGGATTGTGATATTTTGAATTATAAAAACTAATTAAAAACAATAAAGCTCTTTTTTCTTTTTCTTTTAATTGTGCTTGCATTTTATTTGTTTTTTCTTTGTTAATTTAAAAACTCATCATTTTATTTTCAACATTTGCTTTTATTATTATTAATTAATCTATTTATTATTTCATATTTTTTCTTCATTTTTTCCTTCTAATTAACTATTTAATGATATATTTTTTCTTCAATATTTAAAAAGTGGTAATTAAATTGGTGATGAAGGTACATCAGGCTTAGGCTCTGGTTTAGCAAATTGCATTAATCTCTCTAATTTGACATTTGATCTTCGGTAAAAACAGTTTATTTGTTTTATAAAAACTAATTAAAAACAATAATGCTCATTTTACTTTTTCTTTCTATTGTGCTTGAATTTTTTGTTCTTTCTTTGTTAATTTAAATAATCATCATTCTATTTTAAACTTTAGCTTCTATTATTAATTCATATTATCATTATATATTTTTTCTTCATTTTTTCCTTCTAATTAACTATTTAATGATATATTTTTTCTTCAATATTTAAATAGTGGCAATTAAATTGATGATGAAGGTGCATCAGGCTTAGGCTCTGGTTTAGTAAAATGCATTAATCTCTCTAATCTAACATTTGATCTTCGGTAAAAACAGTTTATTTGTTTTGGATTGTGATATTTTGAATTATAAAAACTAATTAAAAACAATAAAGCTCTTTTTTCTTTTTTTTTCATTGTTCTTGCATTTTTTTTGTTCTTTCTTTGTTAATTCTTCATTTTTTCCTTCTAATTAACTATTTAATGATTTACTTTTTCTTCAATATTTAAAAAGTGACAATTAAATTGGTGCAATGGGTGCATCAGGCTTAGGCTTTGGTTTAGCAAAATGCATTAATCTCTCAAATTTGACACTTGATATTCAGTAAAAACAGTTTATTTGTTTTGGATTGTGATATTTTTAATTGTAAAAACTAATTAAAAATAATGAAACTCTTTTTTATTGTGCTTGCATTTTTTTTATCCTTTCTTTGTTAATTTAAAAACTCATCATTATATTTTCAACTTTTGCTTTTCTTATTAATTAAACTATCTCATTATTTCATATTTTTTATTCATTTTTTCGTTCTAATTAACTATTTAATGATATACTTTTTCTTCCATATATAAATAGCCGCAATTAAATTGGTGATGAAGGTGCATCAGGCTTAGGCTCTGGTTTAGCAAATTGCATTAATCTCTCAAATTTGACACTTTAACTTTAGTAAAAACAGTTTATTTGTTTTGGATTGTGATATTTTTAATTATAAAAACTAATTAAAAGCAATAAAGCTCTTTTTTTTTTTCTTTTTATTTTTATTGTGCTTGCATTTTTATTGTTCTTTCTTTATTAATTTAAAACTCATCATTTTATTTTAAACTTTTGATTTTATTTTTAATTCATATTATTATTTCATATTTTTTCTTCATTTTTTCCTTCTAATTAACTATTTAATGATATTTTTTTTCTTCAATATTTAAAAAGTGGCAATAAAATTGGTGCAATGGGTGCGTCAGGCTTAGGCTCTGGTTTATCAAATTGTATTAATCTTTCTAATTTGACACTTGATCTTTGGTAAAAAAAGTTTATTTAATTTGGATTGTGATATTTTTAATTATAAAAACTATTTAAAAACAATAAAGCACTTTTTTCTTTTTATTTTTATTGTGCTTGCATTTTTTTTTGTTCTTTCTTTGCTAATTTAAAAATTCATCATTTTATTTTCAACTTTTACTTTTATAATGAATTAATTAATCTTATTATTTCATATTTTTTCTTCATTTTTTCCTTATAATTAACTTTTTAATGATATTCTTTTTCTTCAATATTTAAAAAGTAATAATGAAATTGGTGATGAAGGTGCATCAGGCTTAGGTTCTGGTTTAGCAAAATGCATTAATCTCTCAAATTTGGCACTTTATCTTCGGTAAAAACAGTTTATTTGTTTTGGATTGTGATATTTTTAATTATAAAAACTAATTAAAAGCAATAAAGCTCTTTTTTCTTTTTCTTTTTATTGTGATTGCATTTTTTTTGTTTTTTCTTTGTTAATTTAACTCATCATTTTATTTTCAACTTTAGCTTTTATTATTAATTAACCTATCATATTATTTCATATTTTTTCTTCATTTTTTCCTACTAATTAACTATTTAATGATATATTTTTTCTTCAATATTTAAAAAGTGGCAATTAAATTGATGCAATGGGTGCATCAGGTTTAGGTTCTGGTTTAGCAAAATGCATTCATCTCTCTAATTTGACACTTTAACTTAAGTAAAAACAGTTTATTTGTTTTGGATTGTGATATTTTTAATTATAAAAAGTAATTAAAAGCAATAAATCTCTTTTTTCTTTTTCTTTTTATTTTGCTTGCATTTTTTTTGTCCTTTCTTTGTTAATTTAAAAACTCATCATTTTATTTTCAACTTTTCTTTTATTATTAATTCATATTTTTATTTCATATTTTTTCTTCATTTTTTCCTTCTAATTAACTATTTAATGATATATTTATTCTTCAATATTTAAAAAGTGACAATAAAATTGGTGATGAAGGTGCATCAGGCTTAGGTTCTGGTTTAGCAAATTGCATTAATCTCTCAAATTTGACACTTTTTCTTTCGTAAAAACAGTTTATTTGTTTTGGATTGTGTTATTTTAAATTATAAAAATGAATACAAAAAAAAAAGCTCTTTGAATTTATTTGATAGCTTTTATTTGGTTTATTTTTTATCTTATTTATTCGACTAATGTTATTTTATTTATTTATTTATTAATTTAAGAAATAATTTTTAATTTAAAAGTTTATTCTATTTGATATTTATTTAAAATTTTCACAAATTTATTATAAAATTTTTAGCTTAACGAATTAATCATAAGTAATCAAAGTAATAAGCAAGTGTCTTAAATCAAAAAGATTAGTTGCCTTTAAAAAATAATTCTAGTGATAAGCAAATGGCGAAAAAAAGATGAATAAATATTAATTGTTTGAATAAATAAATATTTTCTGTTTTTTTATTACATAATATTTTTAAAAATTTTTAAATCTAAAATAAAAATAGATAAATAGATAGATTTTATTATTGTTTTTATGTTATAAATATCGTTTTTATTTTTGTAAATTAACAAATATTAATTAAATATTATCCATCAATAATATTTCTATCATTTTTTTATTTATAATAATTAATTAGATGGCATGATTCGGGGAGAATTCAAATTTTACTTTTTATATGAAAATTCTCCTAAAAATTCACTTACATTTTCGAAAACAAACAAACATTCTAAGCAAATAAAGAATGTTTTACACTTAAATTAATTTTTTAGATTATCAGATCTTTCATTTATTTAATAAATATATTTCAATATTTTATATTAACTTTCATATTTTTTCTAAACTTACTTTCCAACAATTCATTTCCATTTATCTTATTATTACTGATTATTTTTTAAAAGATATTTAGATTCTACATATTTATTAAATATTATTTTAACAATTAAATATCTTAAAAATTACCTTAAATTAAGATTTAATGTGGAGAGAGTAGGACATTTAGCTATTTCGGAAGCTACTGCTTTCGCCCCATCTGGGCCTATATTGTTATCACTAATTAAAATTTACAAAAATACTTAAATAAATAAATAAATATTCTTTTATTTTTTGATTTTTTTAATTATTTATTTAAACTATAAATTGAGAAAATGTGTAAAAAATTACTCAAGACCAAGACTTAAAGTGGAGAGAGTAGGACATTTAGCTATTTCGGAAGCTACTGCTTTCGCCCCATCTGGGCCTATAATGTTATTACTAATTAAAATTTACAAAAATACTTAAATAAATAAATATTCTTTTATTTTTTGATTTTTTTAATTATTTATTTAAACTATAAATTGAGAAAATGTGTAAAAAATTACTGAAGACCAAGGGTTAAAGTGGAGAGAGTAGGACATTTAGCTATTTCGGAAGCTACTGCTTTCGCCCCATCTGGGCCTATATTGTTATCACTAATTAAAATTTACAAAAATACTTAAATAAATAAATATTCTTTTATTTTTTGATTTTTTTAATTATTTATTTAAACTATAAATTGAGAAAATGTGTAAAAAATTACTATAGCCAAAGGCTTAAAGTGGAGAGAGTAGGACATTTAGCTATTTCGGAAACTACTGCTTTCGCTCCATCTGGGCCTATATTGTTTGATCTAATTAAAATTTACAAAAATACATAGAATTTTTATATTAATGAAAAAGTCTTTTAATAAAAGAGATTAAATATTTTTATTAACAATAAAATTACAGTTGAAAATTGGCTATCTTGCAATATAAAAAATTAGAGGTAATCTGTTTTTTGATAAAAAATAAAATAAAAAAAAGATTAAAAAAGTAATTTCTCGTCTAAATTTTCCTTATTAATTAATAGAGAGGAGGCAAATTTTGATTTTTTATTTAGAAATAAATAATTTGATGAAATTATCTAATAGGAAGTCTTTTATTTTTTCAAATTGAAAAAACGAGAATTGGAGAAATTATGGTAATAAAATAAATTTACATTTTTAAAAGAAGTAATTTCTCTAGAATAAAATTAATATCCATAATTTTAATGCAAATCCACAATAATTGTATTTAAATTTTATCTTTTTTCCTAATTAAATACTACGGTTTTTAGAATTATATCATAGATTTTTGTATTTCTTTTTATTAATTCATTTTTAACAAGATAACTTGGTTCAAATGGAATTTTAAAGCCATGTAGGGAATCAAGATTTTTTTATTTAAGAGATGGTTCCAATGTTTCAAAATTATCAATAACAGCTAAACAAACTCCTAGTGAAAAAATTTCACTCTATTAAATTTTAAATAAATAAAATATTTAACTTAATTAATATACTATTTATTTTACCTAGAATGTATATAATAAGGTGTTAAATATCTCAGGTGATATGTATCCAAGAGTGCCACACTTTTTATTATAATTTTAATTATTTTTTTTTTAACTAAAAAATTTTACTGCTCCTTTAACAGGTTGGAAGACTTTCACAATATCATCATAAATTCTAATATTTATGTAATACATTTTTCTTGCTTAATCAAAGTCAGCTAATATAAAAAAATATATTTGAAAAAAGCTAAATATTTAATATTAAAATTACTTAGTTTTATGATTGGAACTTAAGATTGACTGTCAATATAAAGGATATTCTCAAGTTTAACATCTCTATGTACAATATGATTGTAATGTAAGTAGTTAATAACATCGATTACTTGAATAGCTATTTGCATTTTCTCTTCATCATTAAGCTAAATCTTTTCTTTCTTCAATCTGTTAAAGTATTGTTTTAGGTTACCTTTAAAAATCAAAATAAATAATTTATTTGTTTTTCTATTTGAATTTATTTAATTTATTTGATACCAGAACATTTTTCAATTTCATATACTACGAAATCCTCTTTCTTGATAACATCTAGATAATAGAAACCATAGAACTTGATTACAAGAGGCATTTAGCAATCTCTGATTATTCCAATTTCTCTAATAATTTCATGCTTGGATGTAACTCTCTAGATTTTTAAAGCTGAGTGTCTTTTTTATGACTTGTTGTAAACTCCAAGAATTAAACCAGTAGCCCCAACAGAAATGAATTCGAAATTAGAATCATATTAAGTATTTTTTGAGAGTAAATCGAGAATAATTTGATATTCAAAAATTTCAAAAGGCTTTTCTTTCAACTATTTAAATTCTTAAATCAGCATTTCAAATTTTTAATCCTAAAAAATATTTTTTAATCATTAAATTTTATTAAATAATTAAATTTAATGATAACCTTGTAGATTTAAGAAATTTAAAGAAGTTCAATTTCTTCTTTTTTTGATTTTTCTACTATGCTCTTCTAAATTTAAGAGAGTTATTCTGCTTTTTTCTGTAGTTATTTCTTCATAAAAAATAAAAAAATTAATTTATGATTAATAAAAATAGTAAAATTTACCCTATTTAATATGGAAGAAATCTCAACATCTAAGTAGTTTTAATTCTAAATAATGAACTGAATGAGTAAATCGACAGCAGGTATACGATTTTTAGGATCAAATTCTAAACATTGCTAGGCTATCCTGTAAATTTAAGATTGTCTATTTATCTAAAAGCTTGTGAAAACCTTTCCAAATTAAATTTCAAGCTTTTCCTAATTTGTTGTTTTTGTGAAATCGAAGGTCTGAATGTTATCTAGTTCTAATAGCACTAAACCAACAGAAAATATATCTGACTAAATTATTAAAACAATTTTTATTTTGTTTGTTTGCATATGAGGAGATAATAATTTTTGAAATAAGATTTGTAATATTTTTAATTTAAAAAAGCTTTTGATCAAAAGAAGAATAAAAATTAAGTTAAAATAAAATAATAATTAGTAAATTAAGCAAATAATTTACAGATTTTTTGAATATTCCTTAATCTACTTCTGGTGCACAGTAAGATTGAGTTCCTTTCTATATTTAAACAAAAAATTAAGAAAAACAAATCAAATAATATTTTAAATACGAATTTTGAAAAAGAAATTCTAGATTCGTGGTTCTTTAGTGCAGATGCAAAAGCTAGGTCACCTATAATTAATTTTTTATTAAAATTTAAGATATAAAATATGCTAAAAAGAAAATCTTTTTCAGGAATTTTATAATTTATTGAGACTATTGTTAATTAAAGCATTTATTATCAAAATTTTATAAATTAAAAAACAAAATTTTAAATGCATTTGTTTGTTTATAAATTCATATTTTTAATTTCAGAATTAATTTAACCAATTAAGTTAAATTTTGTGCTGAAAACTATTTGGTTTATTATAATCTAAGTAACTTCGAAGTTTAAATTGTAATCAATTAAATAAATTATTTATTTAAAAATTAATATTTTTTTGAAGAAAGCTTAAAATTATTGCTGAAATAAATGATAATTTTATCTTATTTTTAAATTAAAAATTTTTCTAATTAAAATTTAAGAAGCTTTTATTATAAATTATACCTATTATTTTAATTAATTGAGCTAGAAATTTTACTAAAACTTTATTTTATTGCTTTATTTTAAAAAACATTTGCTTTTATTATTTCACATTTTAATTGATTTTCAAGATTATTAAAATTTACATTATGCTTATAATAAAAAATAAGCTATATTTACTTTAGCTTAATCGTCAAAGCCAAGAGATTAATACATTCTGTTAAAATATAAGTAAAATTTGACATGAACTGATTACTGATTTTATTAATACTTTAAATATTTTGAAAAATTATGTGAATTTATATGAATAAAATTGATAAATATGAATTAAATTTAAGATGATTGTGATAACTATAACTTTAATTTTAAATTTAAGTTTAATATTAATTAATAATAATTTTTTTCTTATGAAAAAAAAAATAAAAATTATAAGCAATCTGAGTATTTTCTAAATTTTAATTTCGTTTATTCAAATAATTAATTGCTTCTCAAAAATGAAATAATTACACATAAAATTAATAAAAGTAAATAAACCATTTTTACCTTAGGTTAATTGCCAAAAGAGAATGATTTATTAGCTTTAATTCCTTTTAATTTTTGGAAAAATAATTACTAATAGAATAAAATGGTAGAAGTATAAAAAAACAGTAGAAAAAATTGTTTCTAACTTATGAAATGGAAAATTTTAATTTAAAAATATAAATTGATATAAAGAATAAATAAATATAATATATGCTAGTAAGTAATGAACAATAATCTTTGTAAGAAAATAGTCAAATAGAGTTCATATTTTTTATTACAATTCATTTTTATATCTTTTATTTGATTAACTTTTCAATTTAAAATAACAAAATTGTAAAAGAAAAGTAAATAGATATTTTTACCAAAAGTCAAGATTCAAATTTGAGAGATAAGTAACACTCAGTCAAATTATTAAATAAATTTGATAAACCTTATTTATTAATTAAGTTTTAACCTTAAATATTTAGAGTTATTTGAGAGTTAATATGAAAAAAACAGAGAATTATAGATAAACCGATAGAAATTTGAATTATAAGTATCAATCTTAGATAGATATTTTAAAAAATAAATAAAGATTGAATCAATGAAAAAAATTTTGAAAATAAAAGCATTAAAGTAAATTTCATTAAAAGAAAAACAAAGTATAGAAGTTTAGCATATTTTTTTAATCAGTGATTAAAAAGGAGGGGGGTTTTTTAGTCAAAATCGTCAAAATATTTTTTTTGATGGAGAAAAATATGACTGTATTATTAATTAATTAATTAGTTTCTTTTTAAAACCAACCCTTCTTTAATTTTTTTATTATTAATTAAAATCTAAGTGAGTCAATATTTAAAAGTAATTTAATAAAAGGAAAATGGATTAAAAGAAAAAATAATTTGAATTCCCAGAAGATGTAATTAATTAAAATAATATTAACTACTTAATTTTATTTTTTATTAAAAAAAGTTTATAAAGTCTCCTATAGAAAATCTTTCTGTTCTTAAGATAATTGAAAGGTTTGAATTAAAAAAAATACATTTTTCTATTTAATATAATTAATGCTAATTAAGATTTCTTAATAAACCATAGCATAAATTTAATTGATGAGCAGATAGCTTCAAGTTTTATTTCTGCTTTAGAGAAACACGCTAATCTCTCAGCCATGGATCTTAATTTCCAGTAAAATAATTCGTTTTTTAAAATAATCTATATTTTAGAAAAATTAATTATTCAAAAAATAATGAAAATAAATTACTAAACTATTTGTTAGTATATTAAATATTTCATTCATTTATTTTCTTTTTTTAAATTATGTTGTATTCAAAAATTAATTGAATAATTTCTTCAAATATTTTTTCAATTTTTTCTAATAATAATTTATTTTCCTTGTTTTTTTTAAATAATAAGTTAAAATGAAAATCAACACAGCTAAGAGGGATTAAAACGCTTAGGTTCTGTTTTAGCTAAATGTCCTCTTCTTTCAACTTTGGAAATCAATTATTAGTAAAATTATATTTGTTTAATTTATTTATTGAATGATAAAATATCTTAAAAAATATTTAAAAAAGGACTTTAATGATTTTTTAAATTTAAAAAAAATAAAATCTGATGCATTTACTTTAATTTACAGTTTAATTTTACTTTAATATGTGCCAAAAGGCATCCATAAATTTTCTCTTTATCTAGATGTGAATGCATTTGAAATAAATTAGATAAATAATAAATTTTAAACACAGGATTTTTGAAAAATGAAAAATTTTCTAAATGAAAATATTTCTTTAATTTTATAAAAGCTAGAAAATTAAACTAAAATTTTTAAACTATTAATTATTAATTTGTTATCTAAAAAAAATACATAAAGCAAGATAGAAATTATTAAGCTATAAAATTAATGTTTTATTTAATTAGATTTTTCATTAAGAAACTAAATTTTCAAATTAATTCTATTTTTATATAAAAAAATTTTTTTTTTTTATATTAAGCGGGGATAATATTGGTAATATTGGTGCCTCGTGTTTAAAATCTTCTTTTGCAAACTGTCCGAACTTGTTAAACTTTACACTAAAATTAAGGTAGAAATAATTAATTTGCTTGCTCTTTTTCTTATTTTGTTTGATTTAATAACTTTTTTTGTTTTGACTCTTTTAATTAAACTTCAATAAATATAAATTAAAAAACACAACAACTTAAATCATCAAAGAAAATTAAATTTTAACAATAATCGACATAAAAATTATTTATTTCTAATAAAACACAATATTAAAAATATTATTTTAAAAGTGAGAATAAAATTAGTGATGAAGGTGTTTTAGACTTGAGTTTAGCTTTAACATAATTGAAGAAACTCTAATTTTTAGAACTGTGGCTTAGGTAATAAATTAAACCATTTAAAAGTTTTTTCATTATTAACCCAAATAATATCACATCTTACTCTGCCATAATGAAAATTAATCTTTTACATTTAAATTAAAATTAAATGGAATTAGAATTTTAATAGAAGTTTAAAATCCAAAAGTTTATAAACTTAAAATTTACTCTTAAATAATAAAAGCATCAATTAAATAAACGATAAAGGCGCATAAGATATTGGGGAAGCTTTGACTTAATTACCAAATCTTTCAACTTTAAAACTCTACCTTCGGTAAAAATATTTTCATTAATTTTTTGGTGCATAAACGGCCTAATTCAATAATTTTGATTACTAATCTGAGAGTACAATTTCTATTTAAATAATCCTATTTATCTATAACAAAATTTAAAAGTTACAATTAAATATGTGACCAAGGTTCATCAAGTTTAGGGAAATCTTTAGCAGCTTGCTCTAAACTCAAGAATTTGGATTTATGGGTTAGGTAAAAATAATTTATTTATATTTTAAATACTTCTGTTAATATTATCAGAAGTTATGAAATTCATTAAAGAATTTGTTAATTTTTTATTTAATTTACTATTAGGTTTGTTTATTAATTTTTAATATCGATTTTGTTTTCTATCAACATTTGTCTTAAAACTTTTTTAACTTTTTAATTTATTTTGTTCTTTAATTTGTGTTTATTATTTTATGATAAAAAGTGAAAATTAAATTGGTTACTAAGGATTATCAGCTTTATGTGGTGCATTATCAACAAAAACTAATCTCTCAAATTTAGAATTGCATTTTAAGTAAAAAAAATATAATTTATTTATTTTTCTTAAAACTTTAATTAATTTTTTTTTAATTCATGTTTCAATTGAAAATTATAATTTTTTCTAATTATTTTTTTATACTTTTAATTTTTACTTCACAATTCAATAAATATTTTAAAAATATTTAACAGTGCAAATTAAATTGAATAAGAAGATCTAAAAAATTTAACTTAAGATTTATCTGCTTTTATTCACTTGAAAATTTTGAATTTTGGCTTCAGGTAAAATTAGTTAGTTTATTATTTACATTAATTTATTTATTGATAAATAAAACTACTTGCATAATTATTACCTTTTAAAATTATTAATTAAAGATATTAAAAGCTTTATTTAATCCTTTTAATAAAATTTTATCTTAAAGTGGCTAACAATTTACTATGCAATCAAAGAAGAATCTCAAATAAAAGCTTCTAAAACTCAAGAGATTAGTGGCAAAAAATATTAATATTTATTGAGACTTTTGAAAAAGTTTTAATATTATCTTGATATGAATATAAATAAAATGAATAAATAAATAAATAAACTGTGATAGAAATTTGTGTAAAAATATTTTTATTAAAATTAAATAAAATTGATTATATGTTGCATTTTAAGTAAAAATTGATATCATAAAACAATCAAAAAAAAATAAATTTTATTTATTTATGCATATTTATATTTTTTAATTTTCTTATATTATCTAGTCCAGAATATATGTCTCCCCCCGTATAAAATCTTTAGATTCATTTATATAATTAAAATAAAATTTGATTTCTCCCTAAATTTGTAACCCCTCAGATTCCTTAATGCTACTGATGGATACTATTTAAGATTAAAATCTAAATGTTATATAAAAACTTAGCATTAAAATTATTTAACAAGATATAAAAAAACACTAAAAATTTCATATGGTTTAATCTTTTTTTTATTATTTATTAGCTATTTGTTAACTTATAATAATATGAATGATATTTATAAATTTAAAAAGAATAATAAAATCTATCTATTAATGCATCTATATAAAGGTTAAAACACTTTTTTTAAAATATCATATAATAAAATATATCATACTCAATCATACTATTTTAGCCACTTGTTTATCTCAAAGACAACTAATCTTTTTGATTTTAGACACTAGTTTATTACTTTGAATTTTTTTTCCATATAACTTTTATAATAAATTTGTGTACATTTTAAAAAAATAAATAAAATAAACTTTTTAATTAAAAATTATTTCTTAAATCAATAAATAAATAAAATAACATTAGTGGAATAAAAAAAGAGAAAAAAAATAAAATAAAATAAATTTAAGGAGTTTTTAGTTTAATATTTATTTTATGGTTAAAAATATCACAATCCTAAATAAATAAACTATTTTTACTAAATCTCAAGTGTCAAATAAGATAAATTAGTGCACTTTGCTAAAGCAGAACATAAGCCTGATACACCATTCTAACCAAAATTATTCAAACTTTTTAAATATTGAAGAAAAAATATATCATTAAATATTTAATTAGAAGTAAAAAATGTAGAAAAAATATGTAATAATAAGATAGATTAATTAATAATAAAAGCAAAAGTTGAAAATAAAATGATGAGTTTTTAAATTAACAAAGAAACTTACAAAAAAAAAGCTAGCACAATAAAAACAAAAAGAAAAAGAAAAAAGAGATTTATTGTTTTTAATTAGTTTTTATAATTAAAAATATCACAATCCAAAACAAATAAACTATTTTTACAAAAGATTGAGTGTCAAATTAGAGAGATTAATGCAATTTACTAAAGCAGTACCTAAGCCTGATGTACCTTCATCACCAATAGAATTATCACTTTTTAAATATTGAAGAAAAAATATATCATTAAATATTTAATTAGAAGTAAAAAATGAAGAAAAAATATGAATTAATAAGATACATTAATTAATAATAAAAGCAAAAGTTGAAAATAAAATGTTGAGTTAAATTAAAAAAAAGCAAGCACAATAAAAACAAAAAGAAAAAAAAAGAGCTTTATTGTTTTTAATTAGTTTTTATAATTAAAAATAAGAAAAATAAAAAAGATTAAAAAAAACACCTAATAAATACATAATAACAATATAAAAAAATATATATATAAATATAATATAAAAAAAATTTTTTTAATTTTAAGATGTATTCTGAGTGCATTTATATGTGCGAGTATTTCTATTCTATTCTATCATCAATATAATTGCAACTTTTTAAATATTGAAGAAAAAATATATCATTAAATAGTTAATTAATTAGAAGGGAAAAATGCAGTAAAAATATGAAATAATAAGATAGGTTAATTAATAATAAAAGCGAAAGTTGAAAATAAAATTATGAGTTAAATTAACAAAGAAAGAACAAAAAATAAGCAAGCACAATAAAAAGAAAAATAAAAAAGAGTTTTATTGTTTTTAATTAGTTTTTATAATTCAAAATATCATAATCCAAAACAAATAAACTGTTTTTACTGGAGATCAAGTGTCAAGTAAGAGAGATTAATGCACTTTGCTAAAGCAGTACCTAAACCTGATGCACCGATTGCACCAATTTTATTCCAACTTTTTAAATATTGAAGAAAAAATATATCATTAAATAGTTAATTAGAAGGAAAAATGAAGAAAAAATATGAAATAAAAAGATAGATTAATTAATAATAAATCAAAGGTTGAAAATAAAATGATGAGTTAAATTAACAAAGAAAAGTAAGCACAATAAAAAGAAAAATAAAAAAGAGTTTTATTGTTTTTAATTAGTTTTTATAATTAAAAATATCACAATCCAAAACAAATAAACTGTTTTTACCTAAGGTCAAGTGTCAAATTTGTGAGATTAATGCATTTTGATAAACCAAAAGATAACCTTGATGCACTTTCATCATCAATTTAATTGGTACTTTTTAAATATTAAATAAAAAATATATCATTAAATAGTTAATCAGAAGGAAAAAATGAAGAAAAAATATGAAACAATAAGATAGATTAATTAATTATAAAAGCAAAAGCTGAAAATAAAATGATGAATTTAATTAACAAAGAAAGAACAAAAAAAGAGCAAGCACAATAAAAAGAAAAATAAAAAAGAGCTTTATTGTTTTTAATTAGTTTTTATAATTAAAAATATCTTAATCCAAAACAAATAAACTGTTTTTACGCAAGATTAAGTGTCAAGTTAGAGAGATTAATGCACTTTGCTAAAGCAGCACCTAAATCTGATGTAATGATTGCATCATTTATTTGCAAACTTTTTAAATATTGAAGAAAAAATATATCATAAAATAGTTAATTAGAAGGAAAAAATGAAGAAAAAATATGAAATAAAAAGATAGATTAATTAATAATAAAAGTAAAAGTTGAAAATAAAATGATGAGTAAAATTAAGAAAGATAGAAGAAAAATAAGCACAAGTAAAGTAAAAAAGAAAAAGAAAAGTAAATCAAATAAAAAGCTAAAAAATAAATTCATCAAGTTTTATTATTTAAAATTATGTTTTAAAGGTAAAAATATTCCAATCTAAAAATAATAAGATGTTTGTATCAAGAAAAAGTTTAGAATGAAAAAATGAATAAAAAATTTCAAATAATAAAAAATGGATAATAAATTTAAAAAATTTTAAATGAAAATTAAATTAAAAAAACTAAAAAAACATTTTAAAAAAAATGTACTAAAATAGGGGACAATATCTATTAGAAAAATAAAAATTTTTAATCACAGAAAGTTAAATATATAGAAAATATTAATAGTAATAAGAATGATATTTATTAATTAAATATACGACAGATTAATACAGAGAAACTAATGAGACTAAAGTGAAGACTTTAAGAACTTTTTATATTAGCAAAAATAAATTTAAAGTTTATTAATAAAAAAATAAATAATTACTTTTTCCAATCTATTGTAAAATTTAATCTATTATATTGATTTTTTTTTTTTTTAATATTGAATGCAACCCATGAAAATTTAATTAATTATTAGTAGATACAAGAAAAAATAAATTATATGAATTTATAAATTTACTTTTAGTAAGAGAAATCACAAAAAAGTAAATTAGTGTAACATTTATTATTAAATCTTAATATTTCTATTTAAAATGCTTACTTAAAAATATAGTAGGAAATAGAGATTGGATATAAATGATAACTAAAATGCGAACTCACTAGAATGAAATAAATATTGGTGTAATTAATTAGATTCTTTTATAGTTTAAATTCATTTTAAACTATACTTGCTCACTATAAATAATCTAAAATTCAATAATTTGTATACTTAATAAGCATAAAAAAAAAAAAAATAAAAATATAAATAAATATTATAAAATAGTTAATTTAAGAGTTATTCTGAGTGCATATTTATGTGCGAGTATTTCTATTCTATTCTATCACCAATTTTATTGCAACTTTTTAAATATTGAAGATTGAAGAAAAAGTATATCATTAAATAGTTATTTAGAAAGAAAAAATGAAGAAAAAATATGAAATAATAAGATTAATTAATTAATAATAAAAGCAAAAGTTGAAAATAAAATGATAAATTTAATTAACAAAGAAAGAACAAAAAAAAAGCAAGCACAATAAAAAGAAATAGAAAAAAGAGCTTTATTGTTTTAAATTAGTTTTTATAATTAAAAATATCACAATCCAAAATAAATAAACTGTTTTTACCCAAGATCAAGTGTCAAATTAGAGAGATTAGTGCACTTTGCTAAAGCAGAACCTAAGCCTAAAGCACCTTTATCACAAATTTAATTGCGACTTTTTAAATTTTGAAGAAAAAATTTATCATTAAATTGTTAATTAGAAGAAAAAATATGAAATAAAAAGATAGATTAATTAATAATAAAAGCAATTGTTGAAAATAAACTTATAAGCTGTTAAATTAACAAAGAAAGAACAAAAAAAAAAGCAAGCACAATAAAAATAAAAAGAAAAAGAAAAAAGAGTTTTATTGTTTTTAATTAGTTTTTATAATTAAAAATATCACAATCCAAAACAAATAAACTGTTTTTACCTAAGCCATAGTGTCAAATTTGAAAGATTAATGCAATTTGTTAAAGCAGAACCTAAGCCTGATACTCCTTCATCACAAATTTATAATTTTAAGTTGTATTAGTGCTTTTATATGTGCGAGTATATCTATTATGTTCTATCACGAATTTAATTGCTACTTTTTAAATATTGAAGAAAAAATATACCATTAAATAGTTAATTAGAAGGAAAAAACCAAGAAATGATATGAAATAATAAGATGGGTTAATTAATAATAAAAGTAAAAGTTGAAAATAAAATTATGAGCTAATAAATTAACAAAGAAAGAAAATAAAAAAAAGCAAGCATAATAAAAAGAAAAGAAAAAAGAGTTTATTGTTTTTAATTAGTTTTTATAATTAAAAATATCACAATCTAAAACAAATAAACTGTTTTTACCTAAGATAAAGTTTCAAATTAGAGAGATTAATGCATTTTGCTAAAGCAGAACCTAAGTCTTGTACATCTTCTTCATCAAAATATTTTACTTTTTAAATATTGAAGAAAAAATATATCATTAAATAGAGTAAATTTCCATACGAATTTACAAAAAGAGAGTTTGATATACCGGTTTTTAAATTTAAAAAAATTAAAATTTTAAATATTTTTTATGAATTTTCCTATGAATTCACTGTGAACTCCTCTTTTTTGAAAAATACCCATTTTTTTTGGACATTGTTAGAGTCAATATAGAGGTAAAATTTTTCAATATTTATTTTTTTCAAAAAAAATGATATTTTATAAGAATATATGGCATGAAAAAATTATTTCAAATTTTACATTTTGTGAATTTAAAGCATTCTAAAAACTCAAAAATAAACTATTTAAAGCTAATTTAGCTTTATTTATTATGTTATTAAGATCTATTACATTTAGCCTTTTATAAATTAAAAAGGCATTTCACTCTAATTAATTATAGGAGGAAAAAATGATAAAAAATATGAAATAATAAGATTAATTAATAATTAATAAAATTAACATAGAATGAAAAAATAAGAAATTGTAAGTTTTAATAGCAAAAAATGAATAAAAAATATCAAATAACAAAAAATGAATAATAAATAATTAATTAAAAATTGAAATGAAAATTTTGTTAAAATAGCTAAAAAATTTTTGTTTTAATAAAAATCAATAAATAAATAATGATGATAATTTCTATATTAGAAATTATTTATTTAAACAAATTGAAAGTTAGATATACAAAAAATATTAATAATAATAAAAGTAATATTTATTAATTAAATATACATCGGACTAATATGGAGAAACTAATGAGATAAAAGTGAAGAGCTTAAAAACTTTTTTATTAATTTATATAAATTTAAAGGATATTAATAAAAAAATTAATAATTACTTCTTCTAATCTATTGTAATATTTAATCTATTATATCATTTATTTTTTTCAAAAATACTGAATAGCAATTATGAAATTTAATTTATTAATTAATTATAAATGGATAAAAAGAACAAATAAATATAATAATTATATATTTGGTTTTATAAAGAGATACCGCAGAAAAATTAATTTAGCATTCATTATTTAAACTTAATATTTGTATTTAAAACATATATATGGAACTTTTTTTGGGCAAAAATACTTAGGGAATGCCTTAATTAATGAGCATTTACAGTATATATTAAATGATATTTAATTAAAAAAATATTTTATTATTTTCTAAAAATCTAATCTGAAACCATTTTCAAAAATAAATATTATGTATGACTTTATACTACTAATTAAAAATTTTATTTTCTCTATTATCAGATCATTCATTTATTTAATAAATACATTTCAATATTTTATATTTACTATCATATTTTTTCGAAATTTAATTTCCAATAACTCATCTCCATTTAGCTTATTATTACTAATTATTTTTAAAAAGTATTTTAATTCGATAAATAAATATATTAAATATTATTTTAACAATTTAAATATCTTCAAAATTACCTTAAATTAAGATTTAATGTTGAGAGAGTAGGATATTTAGCTATTTCGGAAGCTACTGATATTCCCCCTTCTGAGCCTATATTGTTATCACTATTATAAATTTACAAAAATAATTAAATATTCTTTTATTTTTTAATTTTTTTATTTATTTATTCAAGCTATATATTGAGAAAATGTATAAAAAATTACCCAAGCCAAAGGCTTAAAGTAGACAGAGTAAGACATTTAGCTATTTCGGAAGCTATTGCTTTTGCCCCATCTGGGCCTATTTTGTTTGATCTAATTTAAATTTACAAAAATACTTAAATAAATAAATATTCTTTTTTTTAAATTATTTTTTAATTGAGAAAATGTGTAAAAATTACTATAACCAAAGGGTTAAAGCGGAGAGAGTAGGGCATTTAGTTATTTCGGAAGCTACTGCTTTCGCCCCATCTGGGCCTATATTATTATTACTAATAAAAATTTGCAAAATATTAATTAAATAAATGTTCATTTATTTTTTGATTTTTTTAATTTTTATTTTCACATTAAATTGAGAAAATGAGTAAAAAATTACCTAAGCCAAAGGGTTAAAGTGGAGAGAGTAGGGCATTTAGCTATTTCAAAAGCTACTGCCTTCGTCCCATCTGGGCCTATATTGTTATCACTAATTAAATTTTATAAAAATACTTTAATAAATATTCTTTTATTTTTAAGTTTTTTTAATAATTTATTAAATCTATAAATTGAGAAAGTAAGTAAAAAATTACTCAAAATCAAGAGTTAAAGTGGAGAGAGTAGGACATTTAGCTATTTTGGAAGCTACTTCTTTTGCCCCATTTGGGCCTATATTGTTATCACTAGTTAAAATTTATAAAATTACTTAAATAAACATTCTTTCATTATTTTTTAAGTTTTTTAATAATTTAATTAAACTTTAAATATAGAAAATGTGTAAAAATTACTATAGCCAAAGGGTTAAAGTGGAGAGAGTTAGACATTTAGCTATTTCTGAGGCTAATCCTTTCGCCCCATCTGAGCCTATATTGTTATCACTAATTCAAAATTTAAAATATACTTAAATATTCTTTATTTTTATATTTTTTAATTATTTATTAAAATTTTAAATCAAGAAAGTGTGTCAAAAATTACCCAAGCCAAAGGCTTAAAGTAGAGAGAATAGGACATTTAGATATTTCTGAAGCTACTGCTTTAGCCCCATCTGAGCCTATAATATTTGATCTAATCAAAATTTACAAAAATGCTTAAATAGATATTCTTTTATTAATTACTAGAGGTAAAGGCTTAAAGTGGAGAGAGAAGGACATTTAGCTATTTACGAAGCTACTGCTTTTGCCCCATCTGGGCCTATATTGTTATTACTAATTAAAATTTACAAAAATACTTAAATAGATATTCTTTTATTTTTTAAACTATTAATTATTTATTTTCAACCATAAATTTAGAAAATGTGTGAAAAATTAATTACCCAAGCCAAAGGCTTAGAGTGAATAAAGTAGGACATTTAGCTATTTCTGAAGCTGCTGCTTTTGCTCCATCTGGGCCTATATTATTATTACTAATTAAAATTTACAAAAATTTTTAAATATTTCGATTTTTATAATTATTTATTTATTTAAATTATAAATCTAGAAAATGCCTAAAAAACTACCCAAGCCAAAGGCTTAAAGTGGAGAGAGTAGGGCATTTGGCTATTTCAGAAGCTACAGCTTTTGCCCCATCCGGGCCTATATTGTTATCACTAATTAAAATTTACAAAAATATTTAAATAAATATGCTTTTATTTTTTAATTTTTTAAATATTTATAAAGGCTATGAATCGAGAAAATGTGTAAAAAATTACCCAAGCCAAAGGCTTAAAGTGGAAAGAGTGGGACATTTAACTATTTCAGAAGCTACTACTTTCACCCCATCTGAGCCTATATTATTTGATCTAATTAAAGAAAACAAAAATACTTAAAATATTCTTTTTTTGATTTTTTTAATTATTTATTTAAACTATAAATTGAGAAAACGTGTTAAATATTACTATAGCCAAAGGGTTAAAATAGAAAGAGTAGGAAATTTAGCTATTTCTGAAGCTACTGCTTTAGCCCCATCTGAACCTATATTGTTTGATCTAATTAAAAATTTACAAAAATACTTAAATAAATAAATATTCTTTTATTTTTGATTTTTTTAATAATTTATTGAGGCTATGAATGAGAAAATGTGTGAAAAATTACCCAAGCCAAAGGCTTAAAGTGGAGAGAGTAGAGCACTTAGCTATTTCGGAGGCTACTGCTTTTGCCCCTTCTGGGCCTATATTGTTTGATCTAATTAAAATTTTCAAAAATACTTAAATATTATTTATTTATTTAAACTATAATTTGAGAATATGTATAAAATTTACCCAAGCCAAAGGCTTAAAGTGGAGAGAGTAAAACATTTAGCTATTTCTGAAGCTACTGCTTTTGCACCATCAGGGCCTATATTGTTTGATCTAATTGAATTTGCAAAAATACTTCAATAAATATTCTTTATTCTTTTATTTTTTGTTTTTTTAAATATTTATTACTATAGCCAAAGGCTTAAAGTGGAAAGAGTAAGACATTTAGCTATTTCCGAAGCCACTACTTTTGCCCCATATGGACCTATATTATTATTACTAATTAAAATTTACAAAAAAATACTTAAATAAATATACTTTTATGATTTTATTTTTTTAAATATTTATTTAAAATTTAAATTTAAAAAAATATGTAAAAAATTACCCAAGCCAAAGACTTAAAGCCGAGAGAGAAGGACATTTAGTTATTTCAGAAGCTACTCCTATTGCGCCATCTGGGCCTATATTGTTATCACTAATTTAAATTTGGAAAAATACTTAAATACATGTTCTATTATTATTTAATATTTTTAATTATTAATTTAAATTATAAATCAAAAAAATGTTTAATATGTTACTCAAGCCAAAGGGTTAAAGTGGAGAGAGTAGGACATTTAGCTATTTCTTAAGCTACTGCTTTCGCCCCATCTGAGCCTATATTGTTTGATCTAATTAAAATTTACAAAAATAAATATTCTTTCATTTTTTGTTTTTTTCAAATCAAATATTTAAATTATAAAATGGGTAAAAAATTACTAAAGCCAAAGACTTAAAATCGAGAGAGTAGGGCATTTAGCTATTTCGGAAGCAATTGCTTTCGCACCATCTGGACCTATATTGTTTGATCTAATTGAATTTACAAAAATACTTAAATAAATATATTTTATTTTGTTTTTGATTTTTTTAATAATTTATTTAAACTATAAATTGAGAAAATGTGTAAAAAAATACCCAAGCAAAAGTCTTAAAGCTGAGAGAGTAGGACATTTAGCAATTTCGGAAGCTACTGCTTTCGCCCCACCAGGGCCTATATTGTTTGATCTAATTAAAATTTACAAAAGTACTTAGAGTTTTTAATTGAATGAAAAAGTCTTTTAATAATAGAGATTAAATATTTTGATTAAAAATAAATTACAATTGAAAATTGGCTATTTTGCAATATAAGAAATGAGAACTAATCTGTTTTTAGGTAAAAAATAATATAAAAAAGATTAAAACTGTAATTTTTCATCTAAAGTTTCCTTATTAATTAAGAGAGAAGAGTTAAATTTAGGTTTTTAATTATTTTAGGAAGTCGTTTATTTTTTCAAATTTGAATTATGAGAATTGGAGAAATTATGGTGGTAATAAAATATATATATTTACATTTTTAAAAGAAGTAATTTCTTTAGAATAAAATTAATATCCATAATTTGAATGCAGATCAGCAATAATTGAATATAAATTTTTTCTTTTTTCCTGATTAAATGCAACGGTTTTTAGAATTATATCATAGATTTTTGTGTTTCTTTATACCAACTCGTTTTTAATAAGATAACTTGGTTCAAATGGAATTTTAAAGCCATGTAGGTAGTCAAGATTTTTTTATTTAAGAAATGGTTCCAATGTTTCAAAATTATCAATAACAGCTAAGCAAACTCCTAGTGAAAAAATTTCACTCTATTAAATTTTAAGTAAATCAAATATTTAACAAAATTAATTAATATTATTTATTTATTTATTTTACCTAGAATGTAAATAATTAGGTGTTAAATATCTCAGGTGATATATATCCAAGAGTGCCACACTTTTATTTTAGTTTCAATTGTTTATTTTAAACTAAAAAATAATTTATTTACTGTTCCTTTAATAGGTTTGTAATCTTTAACTAAGTTTCCATTAATTCTAATCCAATTATAATACATTTTTCTTGCTTAATCAAAGTCAGCTAATTATAAAAAAATATATTTAAGAAAAATTGATTAATAAATTATTAAAGATTTAATTACTTAGTTTTATGATTGGAATTTAAGATTGATTATCGTCGATATAGAGGATATTTTCAAGTTTAATATCTCTATGTACAATATCATTTTAATGTAAGTAATTAATAACATCGATTACTTGAATAGCTATTTGCATTTTCTCTTCATCGTTAAGCTAAATATTTTCTTTCTTTAATCTGTTAAAGTATTGCTTTAGGTTACCTAATAAATAATTTATTTATTTTTTTATTTGAATTTATTTAATTTATTTGATACCAGAACATTTTTCAATTTCATATACAACAAAGTCCTCTTTTTTGGTAACATCTAGGTAAAAGAAACCATAGAAGTTGATTACAAGAGGCATTTAACAATCTTTGATTATTCCAATTTCTCGAACAATTTCATGCTTGGATGGAACTCTTTAGATTTTTAAAGCTGAGTGTCTATTTAATGATTTGTTGTAGGCTCCAAGAATTAAACCAGTAGCCCCAACAGAAATGAATTCGAAATTCGAATCATATTAAGCCTTCTTTAAGAGTAAATCAAGAATAATTTGATATTCAAAGATTTCAAAAGGTTTTTCTTTCAACTATTTAAATTCTTAAATCAACATTTCAAATCTTTAATCCTGAAATAATTTTTTTCATTTTTTAAAAATTTAATAAATAAAATTAAATAATTAAGTTTAAATTAAATGATAACCTTGTAGATTTAATAAATTTAAAGGAGTTCAATTTCTTCTTTCTTTGATTTTTCTACTATACTCTTCTAAATTTAAGAGAGTTATTCTGCTTTTTTCTGAAGTTATTTCTTTGCAAAAAAAATAAAAAACTAATTTATGATTAATAAAAACAATAAAATTTACCCTATTTAATATGGAAGAAATCTCAACATCTAAGTAGTTTTAATTCTAAACTATGAACTGAATGAGTAAATCTACAGGAGGTAAACGATTTTTAGGATCAAATTCTAAACATTACTTGGCTATCCTGTAAATTTAAGATAGTCTATTTATCTAAAAGCTTGTGAAAATATTTCCAAACTAAATTTCAAGCTTTTCCTAATTTGTTGTTTTTGTGAAGTCGAAGGTCTGAATGTTATCCAGTTCTAATAGCACTAAACCAAAAGAAAACATATCTGACTAAATTATTAAAAGAATTTTTTATTTTATTCGTTTTTATATGAGGACAAAAATAATTTTTGAAATAAGATTTGTAATTTTTTAATTTAAAAAAGCCTTTGATCAAAAAATGAATAAAAATTAAGTTAAAATAAAATAATAATTAGTAAATTAAGCAAATAATTTACAGCTTTTTTGAATATTCCTTAATCTACTTCTGGTGCACAGTATGATTGAGTTCCTTTCTTTGTATATTTAAACAAAAAATATAAAAAATGATTAATTAGAATTTTAAATACGAATTTTGAAAAAGAAATTCTAGATTTGTTGTTCTAAAGTGCAGATGCAAAAGCTAGGTCACCTATAATTAATTTTTTATTAAAATTTAATGTATAAAATATGTTAAAAACAAAATTTTTTGTATTAGTTTTAGAGTTTATTGAAACTATTGCTAATAACATCATTTAAAAACAAAATTTGATAAAAAATTATATTTCAAATTTATTTGCAAAATTCTAAAAGTGTTTGATTCTTTGTTTGTTTACAAATTAATATTTTTAATTTAAAAATTAATTTATAGCCAAATGCCTTTATATTTTAATAGCGTTTTTACAGCGTTAAAATATTAATAATAATTTTAATTTTAAATCAATTCAATTAAATTAAATTCAATTTTTTTATAAGTTTTTTAATTTTTAGCTTTTTAAAAATATTTTACTTCCATAAATAAAAATTAAGGGATTGAAATTTGTAACCTCTCAAATTAAATTGGTTAATATGATAGGGTATATAAAATATTTAAAATTAAATACTTTAATTGTTTTTAGTTAAAATTGAGGGCTGATTTTAAAGAAATTCATTTATCTAAGTATATTTAATTTATAAATATTGGTTTATTTATTAAGTTACCAAAATAAATATGATATTCATAAACATAAAAATAATAAATAATACATCTAACAACTATCAATATATATTTTTGGTTAAATTATCTTATTACAAAGTATTATTTTCTATTATTCAAATATTATGCATGTATTTATTCATCCTTTTTCACTACTTGCCTATCACCATGGCCATAGAAAAGATAAGAATTAGATTTGAATGACAACTAATCTTTTTGATTTAAGATACTTGCTTTTTACTTTCAATTATTATGATTTATTGATCGTATTTTCACTTTTATATTATATCAAATTAAAATAAAATACTAAAAAAATTAAATAGAAAAAAATTATTTAATTAAAAATCAAGTTTAAAATTTAAAAAAAATTAGCAAAATAAAAAAGAAAATGAAATATTTTTCAAATAATAACTAATTAAAAGAGATAAATAGATAGGTATATTGTTTTAAATTCAATTTTATAAATAAAAATGTCACAATCAAAAATAAATAAACTGTTTTTACCAAAGGCGAAGTGTCAATTTTGAGAGATTAGTGCAATTTTATATAGCAGGACATAAATTTATTGCACCCTCAATACCAATTTAATTGTTACTTTTTAAATATTAAAGAAAAAATATTTAATTAATAAGTTAGTTAGTTAGTTATTTAGAAGGAAAAAATGAAAAAAAAATATGAAATAATAAGAAATTAATTAATTAATAAATAAATAAAGCAAATGTTGAAAATAAAAAAATGAAGATAGAAGAAAAATAAACACAAGTACAATAAAAAGAAAAAGATAACAAAATCAAATAAAAAGCTAATAAGCAAATATAAAGGGTTATATTGTTTTAAATTCGATTTTATATGAAAAATATCACAAACTAAACAAATAAGCCGTTATTACTTAAGATTAAGTGTCAAGTTTGAGAGATTAGTGCAATTTACTATTGCAGAACCAAAGTTTGATGTACCTTAATCACTAATTAAATTGTGACTTTTTGAATATTGAAGAAAAAATATATAACTAATTAGTTAGTTAGTTATTTATTTAGAAGGAAAAAATGAAGAAAAAATATGAAATAATAAGAAATGAATTAATAAATAAATAAAACAAATGTTGAAAATAAAAAAATGAAGATAGAAGAAAAATAAACACATGTACAATAAAAAGAAAAAGATAACAAAATCAAATAAAAAGCTAATAAGCAAATATAAAGGGGTATATTGTTTTAAATTCGATTTTATATGAAAAATATCACAATCTAAAACAAATAAGCTGTTATTACCTAAGATTAAGTGTCAAGTTTGTTAGATTAGTGCAATTTACTATTGCAGAACCAAAGTTTGATGTACCTTAATCACTAATTAAATTGTGACTTTTTAAATATTGAAGAAAAAATATATAACTAATTAGTTAGTTAGTTAGTTATTTATTTAGAAGGAAAAAATGAATAAAAAATATAAAATAATTAGTTAATAAATAATAAAAGCAAATGTTGGATTTAAAAAAATGGGTTAAGTTAAGAAAGATAGATAGAAGAAAAATAAATGCTAGTAATGAACAAACTTTTTTACTCAAGATAAAGTTTCAAGTTTGAGAGATTAGTGCAATTTGCTAAAGCAGAAACTAAGCTTGATGCACCTTAACCATCAATTTAATTTTCACTTTTTAAATATTGTAGAAAAAATATATCATTAATACATTAATTCATTATTTAGAAGGAAAAAGTGAAAATAAAAATATGAAATGATAAGAAATGAATTAATTAATAATAAAAGCTAACGTTGAAAATAAAAAAATGAGTTAAATTAAGAAAGGTAGGGAAAAAAAAAAGTAAGTACAATAAAAAAGAAAAAGAAAAATAAATCAAATAAAAATTGTATGTGTAATTAATTATATCACAATTTAAAACAAATAAGCTATTTTTACCTAAGATCTAATGTCAAATTTGAGAGATTAGTACAATTTGCTAAAGCAGAACCTAAATTTGATGCACCAATTACACCAATTTAATTTATACTTTTTAAATATTGAAGAAAAAATATCTTATTTATTTGTTGAATAGAAAGAAAAATTAAGGAAAATAAGAAATAAAAAGAAAAGAATTAATAAGTCATAAAACCAAATACTGAAAATAAAAAAATGATTTAAATTAAGTAAGAAAGAAGAAAAATAAACACAAATACAATAAAAAAGAAATAGAAAAGATAATAAATAAATAAACAAACAAATTAAAAGAGCTTTATTGTTTTAAATTCAATTTTATATGTAAAAATATCATAATTCAAAATAAATAAACTGTTTTTACGAAAGTTCAAGTGTCAAATTTGAGAGATTAGTGCAATTTGCTAAAGCAGAAGCTAAGTCTGATGCTCCTGAATCACCAATTTTATTGCTACTTTTTAAATATTGAATAAAAAATATATCATTAATTAGTTATTTAGATGGAAAAAATGAAGAAAAAATATGAAATAATTAGTAATAAATTAATAAATAAATAAATAAACAATAAAAGCAATTATTGAAAATAAAAAAAGAATTAAATTAAGAAAGATAGAAGAAATATAAATGCAGGTACAATAAAAAAAAAAGGAAAAGTAAAAAAAAAAGATAATAAACAAATTAAAAGAGTTATATTTATTATTTTAAATTCAATTTTATAAGTAAAAATATCACAATCTCAAACAAATAAACTGTTTTTACCAAAGATCAAGTGTCAAGTTTGAGAGATTAGTACAATTTGCTAAAGCAGAAACTAAGTTTGATGCATTAAAATGATCAATTTAATTGTGACTTTTAAATATTGATGAAAAAATATTTACTTACTTAATTAATAGTTATTTAGTAGGAAAAAATGAAGAAAAAACATGAAATAACCAGAAAATAATTTATAAATAATAAAAAAATGAGTTAAATTAATTAAGAAAGATTAATAAAAATAAACACAAGTACAATGAAAAAGAAAAAGAAAAGTAAATTAAATAAAAACTAATAAACAAATTAAAAGAGTTAATTATTTTTTATGTATAAATATCATAATCTAAAACAAATAAGATGTTTTTACTTAAGAAAAAGTGTCAATTTAGAGAGATTAGTGTTATTTACTATTGCAGAACCAAAGTTTAATGTACCTTAATCACCAATTAAATTGTTCCTTATTAGATATTGAAGAAAAAATATATCATTAATTAGTTAGTTAGTTAGTTATTTAGAAGGAAAAAATGAAGAAAAAAGAAGAAATGAATTAATAAAATAAATAATAAAAGATAGCAAATGTTGAAAATAAAAAATTAAGTTATATTAATTAAGAAAGATAGATAGATAGATAGATAGATAGATAGATAGATAGATAGAAGAAAAATAAACACAATTACAATAAAAATGAAAAAGAAAAAGAAATATAAATCAAATAAAAAGTTAATTAATAAATTAAAAGAGCTCTCTTGTTTTCAATTCAATTTTATAAGTAAAAATTTCACAATCCAAAACAAATAAACTGTATTTACTCAAGATAAATTGCCAAACTTGAGAAATTAGGGCAATTTGCTAAAGCAAAACCTAAGTCTGATGCACCTTAATCACCAATTTAATTATGACTTTTTAAATATTGAAGAAAAAATATATCATTAATTAATTTGTTTTTTAGAAGGAAAAAATGAAGTAAAAACATGAAATAATTAGAAATGAATTAATTAATAAATAAATAAGAAAAGCAAAAATAGAAAATAAGAAAAGCAAAAATAGAAAATAAAAAAATGAGTTAAATTAAGAAATAAAGAAAAAAAATAAGCACAAGTACAATAAAAAAGAAGAAAAAAGTAAATCGAATAAAAAGCTAATAAACAAATTAAAAGAGATGCATTGTTTTAACTTCAATTTTATAAGTAAATATATCACAATCTAAAAAATGCAATTAAGCTGTTTTTACTTAAGTTTAAGTTTAAAGTTTGAGAAATTAATCCAATTTGATTAAGCATGACTTAAGCATACTACACCTTAATCACCAATTTTATTCTTTCTTTTTAAATATTAAAGAAAATATATATTGCTATTCTAGAATAATTATTTCTCTAGTAGGAAATATAAAAATAAATATTGAGTAGAATAGTTAATAATATTATTATGTAAATTTAAACAAAATTTAAAATGATAAAAAAAGGTATCGAACCTAAACAAACAAAAATGTTTAATCAAATATTATTTTTGATGAAGAAATCTAAATACATTTTAAATCAAACAAACATATAATCTTTAGATTTAAGCCTTTTTTTAATATATTTTATATGTAAAAATATTAATCAAAAAGAAAATATCTTTTTTCAAAATAAAATTGAATCTGGTAAAATATAAAGCGCGCGAAAAAATATGAAATTTATTTATTTAATAAATTCTTTTTGTATTTTTACTAAAAGTTAAGTAATAGTATCAAAATGATAGAAATTAGAATGTTTTCAATTGAAAATAAAAGTATCAGTTAAAATATGGTGATATTTTTAAAATGCTTTTGAAATAAATAATTTTTGGTTTAAAGAGCTAAGACAGACTATTAGCACAATAAATAAATAAGCTGGGTTATCCAATTAGTTTTATGCTTATGAGATCATTTTATTTTTTTAAGACCCTATTTCGAATTAATGAAAGAAAATATCTTTTCAAAATTAAATTGAATCTGGTAAATTAAAAAGAGCGAAAAAAATAATAAATTCATTTATTTAATGAATACTTCTTAAATTTTTATTAATAGTTTAAAAAAATGAAAATGATAGAAATTAGTATGTTTTCAATTGAAAATAAAAGTGTTAGTTAAAACATGGTGATATTTTTAAAATGCTTTTGAAATAAATATTTTTTGGTTGAAAGAGCTAAGACAGACTATTAACACAAATAAGCTGCTGGATTATCCAATTAATTTTATGCTTATGAGATCATTTTATAATTTATAGGACCTTATCTTCTAATTAATCAAAAAGAAAATTTCTTTTAACAAAATAAAATTGAATCTGGTAAAATATAAAGCGAGCGAAAAATATGAAATTTATTTATTTAATAAACTCTTTTTGAAGTTAAGTAATAGTATCAAAATGATAGAAATTAGAATGTTTTAAATTGAAAATAAAAGTATTAGTTAAAATATGGTGATATTTTTAAAATGCTTTTGAAATAAATAATTTTTGGTTTAAAGAGCTAAGACAGACTATTAGTACAATAAATAAATAAGCTGGATTATCCAATTAATTTTATGCTTATGAGATCATTTTATTTTTTTAAGACCCTATTTCGAATTAATGAAAGAAAATATCTTTTCAAAATTAAATTGAATCTTGGTAAATTAAAAAGAGCGAAAAAAATACTAAATTCATTTATTTAATGAATACTTCTTGAATTTTTACTAATAGCTTAATAACAAAATGATAGAAATTAGTATGTTTTCAATTGAAAATAAAAGTGTTAGTTAAAATATGATGATATTTTTTAAATGCTTTTGAAATAAATATTTTTTGGTTGAAAGAGCTAAGACGTACTATTAGCACAAATAAATAAATAAGCTGGATTATCTTATTAATTTTATGCTTATGAGATCATTTTATTTTTTTAAGACCCTAAATCGAATTTGTGAAAGAAAATATCTTTTAAAAATTAATTGAATCTGGTAAATTATAAAGCGCGCAAAAAAAAATACTAAATTCATTTATTTAATAAATCTTTTTTGAATTTTTAGCTAATTGATAAAATAGAATATTTTTCGAAAAGCAAAGCTGAATGCTATTTGAGTCTATTTGTATGACTATTATCAGTAATTTAAGTAAATTAAAATAGTATAATGCTGATACCAGAAAAAAATTTTACAAATATTATATTTATTGAAAAAAACTTCATATTTTTTAAGATTGGGAGGGAGATCATATAAAAATATCTTAAAAACTATGAAGAAATTATAAAATAAAATAATCTGTTCAAATTTAATTAAAACTGATCAATTATTAAGCGCGCGTGAAAAATTGCTATAAGACCTTGCTTGGTCTGTCTTCCCAAATATATCAATTTAATTAAAAAAAATACAAAATAATTAAAAAAAATTGCTTGAAAAGAAAAATGAATTTTGAAAATTTGAAAGTTTTACAAACTAGCTTCATTAAGTTATGCCTTAATTAGCACAAACCTCATTTAGAATTAAAATAAGTAGAATTTATGAATAAAAAATTAAAATATTCCTAAAATTAAATCGAAATATATGATTTTGGGCACGCTAAAGTATTTGATCATCAAGAACAAATTCATAAATTACTAATTATTTGCCTATATAAAGGATATGAAAGTTAAACTGAGTTTTACTTAAGAGTTATGAAAACTGCTGTAAGAAGTGATATCCTTTTAAACTTAGTTAACCACTATTACTTAGATGATAATCAACTTTTCTATGTTTTTGAAATGGAATGTTTTGATGAGACATTAAATGCATTTTAGTAAAAGCATTTTGTTGATGGCTAAATTATTAACTCTTTGAAAGATTAAATTACTTAATACTTCTTCAAAACTCAAGAAATAATTTAAGATTATAAATAAGATCTTCAATTCTACCAATTCTACATTAAATATACATAATAAAAATAACTCTAAATTAAGGTTAATTTGATAGATCCAAGTTTGAGTGATTAATAATTAAAGTAAAAATAAAATTAACAAAGTATAGGTGAATAAGAATGTGAAGGACGCTTAGAAAACTAAGATGAAATTTTAGTAAATAAATAATAAAATTTAGACTAAAGTTAAAATAAAACTTAGATTGATATTGAAGATGAAGAAAAATAAAATTTCTTAGAAGCAATAAATTATATTAGTAATTCAATCAATATGCAAATTTAAAAAAATGATCTTGTGAGCTCTGTTTAACACTTTTACTCAAATATTTTAAATTTTCATCCTTTGGAAATCTTCAAAACTGTTTAAGAGTACCCTATGTATTAAAGTTTCGAGGAAATCTCTTTCGGTGAATAAACCTTTTAAATGAAGGTTCAAAAACGAGGATAGACTATTTTACTAGAAGGAAGTAAATATAGTTCTTTTGATTAAGCTTAACAGATAGCAAAGTAATATGAAAGTTTAATCAAAAATAACCAGTTTTTTACTACATTTATTAACATAGAGTTAATCGTAATTAATTGCTTACAAAATTATGTTTTGGTGGAAAAAAAATATATTCAATAACTTGAAAAATAAAATAATAATTTGTATTGCTTTGAAAAAGAATATAAGTTTAACCAAGATAAAAAAATTTTAATTACATTGAACAACTTAATTAATTTCAGCTATTTATTACTGATTAAAAATTAAATATAAATTACTAAAATCAATCCTAAAAATATAATTTGGAATAAATAATAAGATTTGGTTGTAGCTAATGTGAAAAACTAACATAATGATAACTCTAACTTTGAGTAAAATGATTTTGGACTTTAAATTGATTCATTTAGCTTTTAAGAATCTTCAGAATTTTATGTTTTCATAATTGAATCTAAAATTTAAAATTGCCTTAAAAAATTAAATAAAGAATATAGCAGCTTAAATAACCTGAGAAAAGCTACAGGAAATGCTGTAAAATAATTTATCTTGAGTATTTCTTAATGTGAATTAGAAATGGCTTTAGATTAATATAATAAAATTCAAAACATATTAAATAATTTAACTTCGCTTAATGATTTTAGATCAAGAAGTATTTAATATTCAAAAACAGACATGAATAGAATTTAAATAACATTTAACTTGAATAAATCTTCAGTGAAAGGAGAGAATAATTTATAAAAAATATAAAATTTACATATAAATAACCCTTCGCTCCAAATTTATTTAAAATTTCATGCAATGAGCTTTGAAAATTTTATTTGTACAAAAAAAGTTATTTTAGAAAACCCATCTATTCATTAAATTGAAGAAATGAAAGAAATTTTTTCAGAATACCATAGCAAATTATTGGAAGATTTGAAAGAAATTATTTCTAAATACAAAGGCATATTATTGGAAGAATTTTTCGATAAATTAATATAATTCATATAAACTTAATTTGAACTAGAATTCTCATTACAAATTCTAGATTAATAATTCTTAGATCTTGAAATAAGTCAAATTATAAATAAAAATGATTTAACAGAATACTAAATTTAGTAAATACAAAATTAGAATTACACTGTTTTGTAGTTTGATTTCTCTCCTAATGGATATATAGATTAATTGAAGATATTATTTTTAGATGAAGGTGTATTCTTTTTGCTTGGTGAATGCCCATACCTTCTACTTAAATACACATCATCTAAACAAATAAGCAATATGATCAAAACTATTTTTTATTTAAACAAATATAAAACTATCTTTGGATTGGATTATCTACATAAATACTATGCCTATTAGACAGAAAAATAAGAAGTATGGATATTAAATGAATTAAATAGTTTAAATTTAAAGTAATTGACTTTGAATTTTTATGAGACTGACTATGCGTTTAACATTTCAGGATTTAATTCTATCATTTAATTAAATTTAGAATTTTTTTATTTTGATTATTATAAAGATAAACTTCCTTAAATGGTAGAATAAATTTAATTAACAAATTTAAATACTATCAAATTAACACTTATAGAATCTTTTTATAGGCAAATCTAACCCAAAGAAAGGTAGCTTTGTGCTTTATACAAACTTAAGAACCTTGTAAATGTTATTTTTTAACAAGATAAACATGATATTACATATGGTTAAGAAGGATTTGATTCAATGACATATATTGATAATTCTTTTTGATTAGAATTTATATCATGAAGCGAATTATAAAATATATAATTTAATTTAATGAAGATAAATAAATAATAATTGGTCATATTAATATAAATGTATTTGTTTTTATGTGTTTTTTATTTCAATTTAAAAAGTGATGAAAAATAATCAAATTCAATATTAATTTTAAAAACCATATTTATTAGCTTAAATGTAAAAATTTAATTCTCATTCTTTAAAAATTTGTCTCTGAAATTCAATTAAATTAATTTTCAAAAATTTCAATTAAAAATGAAAGTATGAAACATGTAAAATTTAAAAAATAATTTTAAAGTAGATATTTTTTTGTTGAAAGAACTAACTATAATGTTAGCATAAATAAGCTGAAATAAACTACTGATTTTATGCTTATTAGATCATTTTAGAATTTTTACTTACGACTTTATCTTTGAATTAATGAAAGAAATATCTTTTTTTCAAAATAAAATTAAATCTAGTCGCTAAAAAATATTAAATTAGTTTATTTAATAAATTCTTCTTGAATTTTCAAGAAAATTTAAATTATGATATAAAAATGATAGAAATTAGAATGTTTTAAATTGAAAATAAAATTGTTAAAACATAGTGAGATTTTTAATATGCTTTTAAAATAGATAATATTTGGCTTAAAGAGCTAAGAATTTTAGTACAATTAAGCTTGATTATTTGATTAGTTTGATGTTTATGAGATCATTTTATAATTTATAGGACCTTATCTTCTAAGAAAATATTTTTTTTTTTAAATAAAATTGAATCTAGTAAATTATAAAGTGCGAAATATATTTAATTAATTTATTTAATAAATTCTTCTTTGAATTTTCACTAAAAATAAGTAATAAAATGAAAATGATAGAAATTAGAATGTTTTTAATTGAAAATAAAAGTGTTAGTTAAAATATGGTGATATTTTTTAAATATTTTGAAATCTATAATTTTTGGTTGAAAGAGCTAAGACAAACTATTAACACAAATAAGCTGCTGGATTATCCAATTAATTTTATGCTGAGATCATTTTATTTTTTTTAAGACCCTATTTCGAATTAATGATAGAAAATATCTTTTCAAAATTAAATTGAATCTGGTAAATAAAAAGCGCGAAAAAAATACTAAATTCATTTGTTTAATAAATCCTTCTTGTTTGCTAAATATCTTAGAGTTTTTCTTTTAATTGATAAAATAAAATAGCTTTCAAAAAAAAGCTGAATTTTAATTGAGTCTATTTGTATGACTATTATCAGTAATTTAAATAAATTAAAATAATATACTGATAACAGAAAAAAAATATTACAAATATTATATTTATTGAAAAAAACTTCATATTTTTAAGGTTGAGAGATCATATAAAAATATCTTAAAAATGATGAAGAAAATATAAAAGAAATAATCGTCTTAAAATTTAATTAAAATTGATCAATTATTAAGCGCGCGTGAAAAATTTTAATTTGCTATAAAACTTTGGCCTTCTCAAATATATCAATTTAACTAAAAAAAATACAAAATAATTAAAAAAAATTGCTTGAAAAGAAAAATGAATTTTGAAAATTTGAAAGTTTTACAAACTAGCTTCATTAAGTTATGCCTTAATTAGCATAAACCTCATTTAGAATTAAAAGAAGTAAAATTTATGAAAAAAAATTTTTAATATTCCTAAAATTAAATCGAAATATACGATTATGGGCACGCTAAAGTATTTGACCATCAAGAACAAACTCAGAAATTACTAATTATTTGCCTATATAAAGGATATGAAAGTTAAACTGAGTTTTACTTAAGAGTTATGAAAACTGCTGTAAGAAGTGATATCCTTTTAAATTTAGTTAAACACTATTACTTAGATGATAATCAACTTTTCTATGTTTTTGAAATGGAATGTTTTGATGAGACATTAAATACATTTTAGTAAAAGCACATTGTAGATGGTTAAATTATTAACTCTTTGAAAGATTAAATTACTTAATACTTCTTCAAAACTCAAGAAATAATTTAAGATTATAAATAAGATCTTCAATTCTACATTAAATATACATAATAAAAATAACTCTAAATTAAGGTTAATTTGATAGATCCAAGTTTGAGTGAATAATAATTAAAGTAAAAATAAAATTAACAAAGATTTCAAAGTATAGGTGAATAAGAATGTGAAGGACGCTTAGAAAACTAAGATGAAATTTTAGTAAATAAATAATAAAATTTAGACTAAAGTTAAAATAAAACTGAGATTGATATTGAAGATGAAGAAAAATAAAATTTCTTAGAAGCAATAAATTATATTAGTAATTCAATCAATATGCAAATTTAAAAAAATGATCTTGTGAGCTCTGTTTAACACTTTTACTCAAATATTTTAAATTTTCATCCTTTGGAAATCTTCAAAACGGTTTAAGAGTGCCCTATGTATTAAAGTTTCTAGGAAATCTCTTTCGGTGAATAAACCTTTTAAATGAAGGTTCAAAAACGAGGATAGACTATTTTACTAGAAGGAAGTAAATATAGTTCTTTTGATTAAGCTTAACATATAGCATAATAATATGAAAGTTTAATCAAAAATAACCAGTTTTTTACTACATTTATTAACATAGAGTTAATCGTAATTAATAACCTTCAAAATTATGTTTTGGTGGAAAAAAAATATATTCAATAACTTGAAAAATAAAATAATAATTTGTATTGCTTTGAAAAAAAATATAAGTTTAACGAAGAAAAAATAAATTTAATTACATTGAACAACTTAATTACTTTCAGCTATTTATTGCTGATTAAAAATTAAATATAAATTACTAAAATCAAATCCTAAAAATATAATTTGGAATAAATAATAAGATTTGTTTGTAGCTAATATAAAAGATTAATAAAATGATAGCTTTAACTTTGAGTAAAATGATTTTGGATTTTAAATTGATTCATTTAGCTTTTAAGAATCTTCAGAATTTTATGTTTTCCTAATTGAATCTAAAATTTAAAGTTGCCTTGAAAAATTCAATAAAGAATATAGCAGCTTAAATAACCTGAGAAAAGCTACAGGAAATGTTGTAAAATAATTTATCTTGAGTATTTCTAAATGTGAATTAGAAAAGGCTTTAGATTAATATAATAAAATTGAAAATATATTCAATAATTTAACTTCGATTAATGATTATAAATTTTGTATATAGCTATCAAAAAGAGATATTGATAGAATTTAAATAATATTTTACTTTAATAAAAATTTTTTTTTAAGATAGAATAATTTTTAAAAAATAAAAAATTTACCTATTAATAACCCTTCGCTCCAAATTTATTCATTCAAATTCCATGCAATATATTTTTTAAATATTATTGATATTGAATATCCGTCTTAGGTTTAAATTTAATAATTGAAAGAAATTTTATCAGAACACCATGGTAAATTATAAGAATTGAAAGAAATTATTTCTAAATACAAAGACATATTATTGGAAGAATTTTTGGATAAATTAATATATTTCTTCTAAGCTTTATTTAAACTAAAATTCTCATTACAAATTCTAGATTAATAATTCTTAGATCTTGAAATAAGTCAAATTATAAATAAAAATGATTTAACAGAATATTAAATTTAGTAAATACAAAATTAGAATTACACTGTTTTGTAGTTTGATTTCTCTCCTAATGGATATATAGATTAATTGAAGATATTATTTTTAGATGAAGGTGTATTCTTTTTGCTTGGCGAATGCCCATACCTTCTACTTAAATACGAATCATCTAAACAAATAAATAATTTGATCTAAACTATTTTTTATTTAAACAAATATAAAACTATGTTTGGATTGGATTATCTACATAAATACTATGCCTATTAGACAGTAAAATTAGAATTATGGATATTAAATGAATTAAATAGTTTAAATTTAAAGTAATTGACTTTGAATTTTTATGAGACTGACTACGCGTTTAACATTTCAGGATTTAATTCTATCATTTAATTAAATTTAGAATTATTTTATTTTAATTCTTATCAATATAAACTTCCTTAAATGATAGAATAAATTAAATTAAAAAATATAAATACTATTAAATTAACATTTATAGATTCTATTTGGGAAATCAAGCCCAAAGAGAGGTAGCTTTGTGCTTTATACAAACTTAAGAACCTTGTAAATGTTATATTTTAACAAGATAAAAATAGTAAAAATTGTGATTATGGAAGGTTTGATTCAATAGAATATATTGATTATTCTTTTTGATTAAAATTAGTATAATGAAGTGAATTATAAAATATATAATTTAATTTAGTGAAGATAAGTAAATACTAATTGGTCATATTAATATAAATGTATTTGTTTTTGTGTGGTTTTATTTTAATTTAAAATCTGATGAAAAATTCAATATTATTTTTAAAAACAAACTATATTTTTCAACATAAACATAAAAATTAAATTCTTATTTTTTATAAAATATATATTAAATACAAATACAAGGGTTACAATAAAAAAAATATCTATATTTAATTAAAAAATTTTTGATATTTTCAACAATTTAATTTGAAATTATTTTATAACAAGTAATAGGAATATCTGCTATTTATTAAAAAATCTATTTTCACTATTAGCAAATCATTCATTTTATTTAATAAATATATTTTCAGTATTATATATTAAGTATCATATTTTTTCGAAACATATTTTCCAACAATTCATCTCCATTTAGCTAGTTATAACTAATTATTTTTAAATTGTATTTTAATTTTACATATTAAATGTTATTATAAGAATTTAAATATCTTCAAATTACCTTAAGTAATTTAAATTTACAAAAATACTTAAATAAATAAATATTTATTTTATTTTTTGATTTTTTTAATTATTTATTTAAACTATAAATTGAGAAAATGTGTAAAAAATTACTCAAGAGCAAGGGTTAAAGTGGAGAGACTAGGACATTTAGCTATTTCGGAAGCTACTGCTTTCGCCCCATCTGGGCCTATATTGTTTGATCTAATTAAAATTTACAAAAATACTTAAATAAATAAATATTCTTTTATTTTTTGATTTTTTTAATTATTTATTTAAACTATAAATTGAGAAAATGTGTAAAAAATTACTAGAGGTAGAGGCTTAAAGTGGAGATAGTAGGACATTTAGCTATTTCGGAAGCTACTGCTTTCGCCCCATCTGGGCCTATTTTGTTTGATCTAATTAAAATTTACAAAAATACTTAAATAAATAAATATTCTTTTATTTTTTGATTTTTTTAATTATTTATTTAAACTATAAATTGAGAAAATGTGTAAAAAATTACTGAAGAGCAAGGCTTAAAGTGGAGAGAGTAGGACATTTAGCTATTTCGGAAGCTACTGCTTTCGCCCCATCTGGGCCTATATTGTTATTACTAATTAAAATTTACAAAAATACTTAAATAAATAAATATTCTTTTATTTTTTGATTTTTTTAATTATTTATTTAAACTATAAATTGAGAAAATGTGTAAAAAATTACTAGAGGTAGAGGCTTAAAGTGGAGATAGTAGGACATTTAGCTATTTCGGAAGCTACTGCTTTCGCCCCATCTGGGCCTATTTTGTTTGATCTAATTAAAATTTACAAAAATACTTAAATAAATAAATATTCTTTTATTTTTTGATTTTTTTAATTATTTATTTAAACTATAAATTGAGAAAATGTGTAAAAAATTACTGAAGAGCAAGGCTTAAAGTGGAGAGAGTAGGACATTTAGCTATTTCGGAAGCTACTGCTTTCGCCCCATCTGGGCCTATGTTGTTTGATCTAATTAAAATTTACAAAAATACTTAAATAAATAAATAAATAAATATTCTTTTATTTTTTGATTTTTTTAATTATTTATTTAAACTATAAATTGAGAAAATGTGTAAAAAATTACTGAAGACCAAGGCTTAAAGTGGAGAGAGTAGGACATTTAGCTATTTCGGAAGCTACTGCTTTCGCCCCATCTGGGCCTATATTGTTTGATCTAATTAAAATTTACAAAAATACTTAAATAAATAAATATTCTTTTATTTTTTGATTTTTTTAATTATTTATTTAAACTATAAATTGAGAAAATGTGTAAAAAATTACTAGAGGTCAAGGCTTAAAGTGGAGAGAGTAGGACATTTAGCTATTTCGGAAGCTACTGCTTTCGCCCCATCTGGGCCTATATTGTTTGATCTTATTAAAATTTACAAAAATACTTAAATAAATAAATATTCTTTTATTTTTTGATTTTTTTAATTATTTATTTAAACTATAAATTGAGAAAATGTGTAAAAAATTACTGAAGAGCAAGGCTTAAAGTGGAGAGAGTAGGACATTTAGCTATTTCGGAAGCTACTGCTTTCGCCCCATCTGGGCCTATATTGTTTGATCTAATTAAAATTTACAAAAATACTTAAATAAATAAATATTCTTTTATTTTTTGATTTTTTAATTATTTATTTAAACTATAAATTGAGAAAATGTGTAAAAAATTACTGAAGAGCCAGGGTTAAAGTGGAGAGAGTAGGACATTTAGCTATTTCGGAAGCTACTGCTTTCGCCCCATCTGGGCCTATATTGTTTGATCTTATTAAAATTTAAAAATTTATGATTCTGAGTCTTGAAATAAAAAAATATTTAAAAAGTCGATATATATTTTAATTAAAAATAAAATTACAATGCAAAATGAGCTATTTTACGATATTAGAAATCAGAGGCAATCTGTTTTTAGGTAAAAAATAAATTAATAAAAAAACAAAACCGTAATTTCTCTTCAAAAATTTCCTTGCTAATTAAGAGAAAAGAGAAAAATTTAGGATTTATAAAAGGAAATAGTTTTTTTTTTTTTTCAAATGAAAATTAAGAGAATTGGAGAATTTATGGTAATAAAATATATTTACATTTTAAAAAAAAGTAAATTCTTTAGAATAAAATTAATATCCATATTTTTAATGCAGATCAGCAATAATAGAAGATAAATTCTTTCTTTTTTCCTGATTAAATGCAACGGTTTTTAGAATGATATCATAGATTTTTGTGTTTCTTTTTATCAATTCGTTTTTTACAAGATAGCTTGGTTCAAATGGAATTTTAAAGCCATGTAGGCAATCAAGATTTTTTTATTTAAGAGATGGTTCCAATGTTTCAAAATTGTCAATAACAGCTAAACAAACTCCTAATGAAAAAATTTCACTCTATTTGATTTTAATTAAATCAAATATTTATTATAATTAATATATTATTTATTTTACCTAGAATGTATATAATAAAGTGTTAAATATCTCAGGTGATATATACCCAAGAGTGCCACACTTTTTATTATAATTTTAATTATTATTATTTTTTAATTTAAAAATTTACTGCTCCTTTAATAGGTTTGTAGTCTTTAACATAGTTTCCATTATCATTAATCAAATTGTAATACATTTTTCTTGCTTAATCAAAGTCAGCTAATTATAAAAAAATATATTTAAGAAAAAAAAAGATAGATATATAATTTTTTATTTAATTACTTAGTTTTATGATTGGAACTTTAGATTTATTGCTGTCGATGTAAAGGATATTCTCAATTTTAATATCTCTATGGACAATATCATTGTAATGCAAGTAGTTAATAACATCAATTACTTAAATAGCTATTTGCATTTTCTCTTCTTCATTAAGTTAAATCTTATCTTTCTTTAATCTGTTAAAGTATTGCTTTAGGTTACCTAATAAAATAAAAATAAATAATTTGCTTGTTTTATCTATTTCAATTTATTTAATACCAGAGCATTTTTCAATTTCATATACGACGAAGTCCTCTTTTTTGGTAACATCTAGGTAAAAGAAACCATAGAATTTTATTACAAGTGGCATTTAGCAATCTCTAATTATCCCAATTTCTCTAACAATTTCATGTTTGGATGAAACTCTCTAGATTTTTAAAGCTGAGTGTCTTTTTTATGATATGTTGTAAACTCCAAGAATTAAACCAGTAGCCCCAACAGAAATGAATTCAAAATTAGAATCAAACTAAGTATTTTTTAAGAGTAAATAGAGTATAATTTGATATTCAAAGATTTCAAAAGGCTTTTCTTTCAACTAGTTAAATTCTTAAATCAACATTTCAAATTTTTAATCCTAAAATACAGTTTTTCATTATTATAAAAAATAAATAAATTATATTAGAAAATTAAATTTGAATTTAATGATTACCTTGTAGATTTTAGTAATTTAAAGTAGTTCAACTTCTTATTTCTTAGATTTTTCTGCTACACTCTTCTAAATTTAAAAGAGCTATTCAGCTTATTTCTGTAGTTATTTCTTAAAAAAAAAACTAATTTATGACTTATTAAAACAAAAAAATTTACCTTATTTAGTATGGAGGAAATCTCAACATCTAAGTAATTTTAATTCTAAACAATGAACTGAATTAGTAAATCTACAGCAGGTGTACGATTTTGAGGATTGAATTCTAGGCATTGCTTAACTATCCTGTAAATTTAAGATTGTCTATTTATCTAAAAGCTTGAGAAAATATTTCCGAACTAAATTTCAAGTTTTTGCTAATTTGTTGTTTTTGTGAAATCGAAGGACTGCATATTATCTAGCTCTAATAGCACCAAGCCAACAGAAAATATATCTGACTAATTTATTAAAATAATTTTTATTTAATTTATATGTTTATGAAGAGATATATTATTTTTGAAATAGAATTTGTTATATTGATCAAAAAAAGAATAAAAATTAAGTTGAAATATTAATTATTAAATTAAGTAAATATACAGCTTTTTTGAATACTCCTGAATCTACTTCTGGTGCACAGTAAGATTGAGTTCCTTTCTATATTTAAATAAAAAATATAGAAAACAAATCAAATAGAATTTTAAATACAAATTGGGAAAAATAGATTCTAGATTGCTTGTTCTATAGTGCAGATGCAAAAGCTAGGTCACCTATAATTAAATTTTTATTAAAATTTAAGATATAAAACTTATTAAAAAAAAATTATTTGAAGGAATTTTATTAAGGTTATTGAGACTTTTGTTGATTAAAGGTCATTTAAAAATAGAATTTTAAAAATTTTATATTTTAAATTTGCAAAAGTTTAAATGTGTTTGCTTGTTTGTTTACAAATAAATATTTTATTTTCAGAACTAAATTAATCAATTTAATAAAACTATTTGTTGCAAATTATTAAGTTTAATATTAATTATCTAAATAAATAACTTTAAATTAAAGGTTTTGAAAAATTCTGTCACCTCCCTTCATGCATAACTGTGATTGTTTCCCTTAAGAGAAAACACTTATTTTACCATCTTAAATTTGAGCCGTCTCTTAAATTAAAAGAATTATGGTATACACTTAAAAAATTTATATTCTGAATCATCATATGTTTTAGTAAAATATGTGCATTTAACCTTTAAAATTCAAAATTAATTATCTAAAACAATATTTTTAATTAAATTTAAATGAGAGAGTAAAAAAAATTATTATTTCTCTTTAAATTTATTTACTAATTATTTAATATTTTTTTTTCCATCATTATTAATAAAATATGGAATGGTATAATATTTTCATTGAAAAAAACCAGAAAATAATTTTTTAAGAAGGTAAAAACTAAATTAATTGTAAATAAAATAATTTATTCTTCTCTAAAATAGCCATTCTTACTTTACTGAATATTAAAAATCGAATTTAAAAGTCAAACTATGAATAAAATTACCCTAACTACAAACAAAACAAAAAAATAATAATAATAGTATGCAAATTATTTAAATTCAACTTTAATACTTCATAAAATTAAAAATTAAAATTAAATTGTAAAGCTAAAATCATAAAATAAAATGAATCAGATAAAAAGAAGTAAGAATAAAGAAACTCAATAAAATTAATAAATCTAATTAATACCTTTATTCAACTTATGTCAATTTCAAGAATAAAGAAAAAATATAAAAAGCTTTTTGATTATTACTATTACTATTAAAATATTATAGTTTTGCTACTCCTTAAATAAAAAAGCTTTAAAATTATCAGAATTTATTAATTTAAAATTTTAAAAATTTAGCTATAAACGAAGACATTCGTGTAAAAAAACAAGAATAACAATTAAATGTTATTAGAAAGTAAAGATCAAAATTAATAATTAGTAAAAATGTAGAAATTCATAAAAGCAAATTAATCTTTGATAATTCTTATTCCAAAAAATGAAGACATTTTTTATTATGATCGTTTTTGAGGTGATCTTCTTACCCTTAAATGTTTTGATAATTCTAAAATAAAAAGGCAAAAATAAAATCAATTTAAATTAATGAAATTATCAAATTAATCAGAATTTATTTATTAAAAATTAAAATTATAATTTTAAAAATATAGCTTTTAATTTAAATATCCAAATTAAGTTAGTGAAATTATCAAAAATTATTAGAATTTATTTATAAATTTAATTTTAAAAATAAGCTTTTAATTTAAATATCCAATTTAAGTTTGTGAAATAAATTATCAAAAATTATTAGAATTTATTTATAAATTTAATTTTAAAAATAAGCTTTTAATTTAAATATCCAAATTAAGTTAGTGAAATTATCAAAAATTATTAGAATTTATTTATAAATTTAATTTTAAAAATAAGCTTTTAATTTAAATATCCAATTTTAATTAGTGAAATTATCAAAAATTATTAGAATTTATCTATTAAAAATTTAAAAAATTTAACTTTTAATATAAATATCATAAACTACATACGTGTAACAAAAACAACAATTAAATTTTTATATAAATTCAATTTTATAAATTATTAAAAATTTAATTAAAAAGTAGAGATAAAAATTAATTCTAACTAAAAAAAAGTATGATTAAGTTAATAATTAAATAGTGAAAATGAAGAAATTCATTTAAGTAAATCTTTATTAGATAATTCTTGTACTTAACCTAAAAGATAAAGCATAAAAATTCTAATCATTATTATTATTATTATTATTATTATTATTATGGTTGAGATGACTTTTTACTACTGAATTTATAATATATGTACTCTTTTAATAAATGAATTACTTTTCTTATTTATGGAAACCTCCTATTGAATCTATTTAGTCGTTTTACATATGCTAAAAAAGTTATCTAAATGGGGATATTTTAATATCTATGTAATTTTCATAATGAAATAATTATATATCAGATATCTTCCTTTGAATTCATTTGATTTTAAATTATTATAGCTTCTAGCAATTCTATTTAAAAGTTTATAATTTATTTTTTATATTTTGAAAGCTGCTCTTTTATATTAGTGTTATTTAAAAATCTGCTTTGAAATTTATTTATGGTACATCTTATTTATAATTTCAAGAGTTATTGAGTAAGCCTAATAAAAATCACTGTATTTTTTTGCTTAGAGAAAATATAAAACCTTACTAAAATTAAATATTGCTTTTAAATTTTAATATAAATTAATTTTAAACTTTTAATTAATATGTAATTTTTTGTCAATTAGGATAAATCTTATCAATATCGATTTACATAAATGAGAAAAATAATTGAAAATAAAGAGTTGATTTATATTAATTAAAAAATAAATAAATAATCTAAATTTAAATAAAATAATTTTTATTTTCTAATATTTATTAATATATTTTATTTTTAATTTTAATGAAATTATTAAAAAACATAAATTAATAAAATTTTTTAATTTTAGTATTTTCTCATTTTATCAAAATACTAAAAAAATTAACTGTATTAATTAAAAAATGCTAATTTTAACAAATATAATTTGAAATTTTTTATAACAAGTATTATGAATTTCTGCTATTTATTAAAAAATTTATTTTCTCTATCATCAGATCACTCATTTATTTAAGAAATATATTTTCAATATTTAATATTTAGTATCATATTTTTTAGAAATATATTTTCCAACAATTCATCTCCATTGAGCTTGTTATTACTAATTATTTTTATATTGTATTTTAATGTAAGAATTTAAATATCTTGAAAATTACCTTAAATAAAGATTTAAAGTGGAGAGAATAGGACATTTAGCTATTTCAGAAGCTACTGCTTTCGCCCCATCTGGGCCTATATTGTTTGATCTAATTAAAATTTACAAAAATACTTAAATAAATAAATATTCTTTTATTTTTTGATTTTTTTAATTATTTATTTAAACTATAAATTGAGAAAATGTGTAAAAAATTACTCAAGACCAAGGCTTAAAGTGGAGAGAGTAGGACATTTAGCTATTTCGGAAGCTACTGCTTTCGCCCCATCTGGGCCTATATTGTTATCACTAATTAAAATTTACAAAAATACTTAAATAAATAAATATTCTTTTATTTTTTGATTTTTTTAATTATTTATTTAAACTATAAATTGAGAAAATGTGTAAAAAATTACTATAGACCAAGGCTTAAAGTGGAGAGAGTAGGACATTTAGCTATTTCGGAAGCTACTGCTTTCGCCCCATCTGGGCCTATATTGTTTGATCTAATTAAAATTTACAAAAATACTTAAATAAATAAATATTCTTTTATTTTTTGATTTTTTTAATTATTTATTTAAACTATAAATTGAGAAAATGTGTAAAAAATTACTCAAGACCAAGGGTTAAAGTGGAGAGAGTAGGACATTTAGCTATTTCGGAAGCTACTGCTTTCGCCCCATCTGGGCCTATATTGTTTGATCTAATTAAAATTTACAAAAATACTTAAATAAATAAATATTCTTTTATTTTTTGATTTTTTTAATTATTTATTTAAACTATAAATTGAGAAAATGTGTAAAAAATTACTCAAGACCAAGGGTTAAAGTGGAGAGAGTAGGACATTTAGCTATTTCGGAAGCTACTGCTTTCGCCCCATCTGGGCCTATATTGTTTGATCTAATTAAAATTTACAAAAATACTTAAATAAATAAATATTCTTTTATTTTTTGATTTTTTTAATTATTTATTTAAACTATAAATTGAGAAAATGTGTAAAAAATTACTGAAGATCAAGGGTTAAAGTGGAGAGAGTAGGACATTTAGCTATTTCGGAAGCTACTGCTTTCGCCCCATCTGGGCCTATATTGTTTGATCTAATTAAAATTTACAAAAATACTTAAATAAATAAATATTCTTTTATTTTTTGATTTTTTTAATTATTTATTTAAACTATAAATTGAGAAAATGTGTAAAAAATTACTAGAGGTAGAGGCTTAAAGTGGAGAGAGTAGGACATTTAGCTATTTCGGAAGCTACTGCTTTCGCCCCATCTGGGCCTATATTGTTATCACTAATTAAAATTTACAAAAATACTTAAATAAATAAATAAATATTCTTTTATTTTTTGATTTTTTTAATTATTTATTTAAACTATAAATTGAGAAAATGTGTAAAAAATTACTATAGACCAAGGCTTAAAGTGGAGAGAAAAGGACATTTAGCTATTTCGGAAGCTACTGCTTTCGCCCCCATCTGGGCCTATA